TCCCACCCTCAGCAGAACGTGCCCAAGCACTCCCGTCCTGTGTCCTCTGAGATGGACCAGTTTCTTGTGGAGCAAGGGAGGGAACTTCCCTGGCTGGGTGGAGTAGGAAGGGCCATGGGGGACATGATTCTGCTTCTAAACAGTTTTTGAAGAGAGCTGCTTGTTAGCTCCGTTGCAGCACACCCGGGTTCCAGGCCATTCTGTGAGATTGCTCCTTGGTTTCCCCATTCAGCCTGGGATTCAGCTTCCTTAAGTCAGCGGTTTCCAGTGGCCCCTCTGCACTTCAACTATCATGCTTTTGCTGTTTCCTCTGCTCGTCAGTTTTCAAAAGTATGTATGTGTATGTAGATAGATATTTAAATTGTTCTCTTTTTTTGTCATTTTAACTAGGGTTTTGGAGGCAGAAAAAACCATTGTAGAAATTCACTACCACCCAGAATCTCTGGTCTTTTCATTTCTGTAAAATGTCCTGCCTGTTGCTGTCAGGGTAAAACAGAAAAATCGTGTAAATGTGCTGTGAACTGTGATGTCTTATCCAGGAGTTAGGTGAGCAGTGCTGTCAGTAGCTAGGCAGCTGAAGCCCATTCATGTGTGTTTGTTTTTGCATACTTCCCAAAGGCAGAGCATACTGGGTCTCTATCCTAGGAGATTTTTTAAAAGTATTGTATTTATTTTATTTTTAGAGAGGGAAGGGAGGGAGAAAGAGAGAGAGAGAGACATCAATGTGCAGTTGATGGGGGTCATGGCATGCAACCCAGGCATGTACCCTGACTGGGAATTGAACCTGTGACACTTTGGTTCGCAGCCTGCGCTCAATCCACTGAGCTATGCCATCCAGGGCTACATGTGTGTTTTTTTAAAGATTTTATTTATTTATTTTTAGAGAGGGGAAGGGAGGGAGAGAGGGAGAGAAACATCATTGTGTGGTTGCCTCTCTCGCACTCCCTAATGAGGCCCTGGCCCGCAACCCAGGAATGTGCCCTGCCTGGGAATCGAATAGATGACCCTTTGGTTTGCAGGCTGGCTCTCAAACCACTGAGCCACACCAGCCAGGGCCCACTTGTGTTTTACCTCATCTAAGTCAGTTAGTTGTCTTAGGAGATACGAACTGTTATCCCCAGTTGGCAGATGATGAAAATTAAGTGACTTGCCCAAGGTCACACCACTCCCAGCCAGTACAGAGCAGGACCTGACTTCGATGGTTGGACTTGCTTGGGTAAGTCACTCTACAGATACCAGACATAGCCACAGTGAAGACACCTCAGCATTTTCTTATCTCACCCAGACCTTACTGAAGGTATGGGAGCAGGTATGGGAGTAGGACGTGCTGTGTCAGGGGTTCCTGCAGGGCCCTGCAGTAAATGACCACAGGCTGCAGGCAGGCTTTCAGGTCTGCTCAGGGTATGACCTCTGCTTCCTGTCTGAGGGGAACAGGTTCTTGTACCCTTTTTCTGAGATAACTGGGATGTACTATTTTTTGTCCAGAGCAACAACACAGCTCATTTTTGTTTTTGTAAGGAAAAACTGACTCAGGGTTGTGCCATCAGACATCCCTGTAAGTAACTCATAATCCAGGATCAAACACTTGGCAGGCTGTGAGGATCCAGTAACAGGTGATGTAATGTCCCCAGAATGCACACTGTTTGCTGGCCTACTGGGAGACCATGAGCTGATTTCTGAGCCTCAGCCCTGCCTACCCGAGGCCCAGGGTCTCTGCATCACTCCAAGAGGTATGAGAGGTTAACCCCTCTCTTGCCGGAGCAAAGTGCCAGTGAGATGTGGAGGACAGGGCCAGCATGCCATGGAGAGCAACTGCCACCAGAGCTGGTAGCCTGGAGAGGGGCAGCAGTGGGGAATAACTGGCTGTAGAAGTCCCCACCACCTGGCTTCAGGCTTGGCTCAGCCCAGCAGTGGGGCCTCTGCAGAGGGATGGTCACCTACCACTCACTGGCACTTACCCCATGGTGAGCATCCAAAGTGCCACAAAGGCCTACAGAACTCAGACCTTGAGCCCCACTTCTGTCTTGCAGAGGTGACCCAGCAGGAGAAGTGGACCAGAGAGCTCGCTGCCTGGAGGGCCATAGTTGGGGAGCATGACCGCATGATGCAGAGCTGGAGGAAGGTGTGGGTACGTGGCTCAAGGGCAGCCGCCCCTCTGAGGGGATTGCTCGGGGCCCATTCTGCCAGTGGGTGGGCCCTCACGGCAGACTCAAGTCAGGAAGGACAAGAGGGATGTGGGTGCAAAGGGCAGAGTCAGTTGCTTCTAGTTAGATGTATCCCCATGAATATCCCCACCTCCTAGACAGAGCAGGAAACCTGAAGCAGGTGGGACATTGGGTGCTGGTGAGAGCAGTTGATTGTGGCCTCAGCACTTGGCTGGGCATCAGCTGGGGGAGCCCCAGAGGTTGCAGGCACATGGGCAAGCAGCGTGCCCCATCCCAGCATAGAGGGTGACAGAACAGGCATTCCCAGGCAGACCCCAACAAGGCAGAGGCATCCGGCCCTGGATTCCCTTCTTGGCCACCACCTCAAGGCTAGACAACAAGATTATCATGGGGAGGAGTGGTCAGCTGTGACAGTTCAAACCTGAGGTCCTACAGTGTCCTGGGTGAAAGGGCTGTCTGTGCAAGTCCCTCCTTGTGGCTAGCAGGCTGTTTGTGACTCCTCCAAGCCTAGCCTTCCCACAGGGTCCCCTCCTAGACCCAAGGGAGAGCACACAGGACAGGGGACTTGAGGCCTTTGCCCGTACCTGAGACAGTCTTCGGGGAAAGTGGGTAAGAGCAGGAAAGGCCCGCTCTCCTGACAAGAATTTAAACACATTGTTCTTTCAGGAAAGCTGTAACAAGGATACCTTCTAGCCACCAGAAGACAGTGCTGACCAATGCCACCTGCCACACGCCCTGGAGAGGCCCAAAGGCAGGGAGCTGTCTCTTGCCTGCTCAGATGCAGCCTTGGGGATGAGAGCAAAGGAAGGCAAAGAGCCCCAACTGGACCTATGAGAGTAGCTGGAACTTGTTTGCAAATTAGGTGCTTACATGTGACAGGAGGTCTGTCTGGCAGAAGCCGGAAACCAGGATGGTTCATGGGCTGCAAACAGACTGGTTGAGGTAGCAGTGTGCATGACGGCTCCTTGCCAGAAGCACTGTTGTTATCCTCTACAAATCACTCACTCGTATGTGATTAGAGTAACTGCCCAGAACAACTGATGGTGTCAGCACAGGCCCCTCCTACAGGATTCACTGCTACAAATGGAGCCTGCCTCTTGTCCCCACCTTCAAACTCAGCCACTTTACCCTGAGGTGCACTATAGTGGAGAAAAGGCAAGACTCCAAAAAAAGGTGCCTTGACCTTGAGTGACGCTTAGGCTCATAGTGGGAGCTGGCACAGATTTGACGTCTTTGTGGCCATCCTTACTAATCTTATAGTATCAGACTGTAAAGATCTGAGTGTACACTGTCCACTTGCAGCATCGGCCATGGGCATCAAGCTTCTCCGAGGCATCTCCTGGTGCCATGTCGTTTTCTTCACAGTGGGTTGATCTGATGAGGGGACTGTTACACCTGCTCCTGAGTCTAGTTATGAAAGCTCTATCTCCAGAACCCCCACCACATATCTGTGAAGATGAGGGCCCAGGCCCAACGCAGCCCAACCTATAACCACACGGACACATGATTTGTGGAACGACAGTTCTTAATGGCATGGCAGCCTATCATAAATCCAAAACCTCTGTCAAAAATAAAGCTGAACTTCTCTTCTAACCCTAGCAAATGGATTTCTCCTCAGTCTCCTGACCATAGCCTGTGTGCAGACTTGTCCTGAGACTAGTGAGTTTTCTAGCAGCCTTCTTAAGAGAGCAGCACACACTTCTTGCCAGTTACTTCCAGGATCCACTGCGAAAAAGAATTCCTGAGGATGGCTCACTTTGGGGTTAGAGTCACCCTGACTGACCCTTTGCCCCTCCACCCTCCCACCCAGGTACCCACCCATTCTGCCAGAGGCTGGTAATCCAGCTCACTGGCTGGATCACGCACCATGATGTAGATTTTTTTAAGACACCCATCAACTTTGTTTTTTGCGTGGGATATGGCTCCAGCCACTGTAGATGCTGAGTGAACTGCTCTCAGGTTTGGGACTTTCATGCTCAGCAAAACAATTCAACACTTCCAGTTGTCACAGGCATGTTCTGTTGGGAAATGTCATTGAGGATGAATTTGGATTCTTTGCATGCTCAGAAAAATAAAGGTGGACAGTTTCACATCTGCTCAGTGAAGTCTGTACTTGGGAGGCTCAATGCCATCTGCATCCTTCAGCACTGTCGGTCACTGAGCCACTGTCTGCAACGGCAGCCTCTGTGAGGAAAATGACATCTCAGCCAGGGCAATGGGGCATTAAGTCACATGTGAAAAGAATGTGATGTGGAAGCCCACTTCTCTGCTTCAGTTTCCTTCACCCTGGCTTAGCTGAACAAACACCATGTCCAGAGACTTTAGGGCTCTGAACAGAGGACCTTTATGGCCAGCAGAAATATTTTCAATGATTTTTTAAAGACCATTTGTCTTTTTAATTTTTTAACTTTTTCAATTACAGTTAACATACAATATCATATTAATTTCAGGTGAATGACATAGTGATTAGACATTTATATACCTTACAAAGTGATCACCTCAATGTGTCTAATACCCACCTGGCACATACCCAGTTATTACAATATTATTGACTATATTTCCTATGCTGTACTTTAACATCCCTGTGACTGATTATTGTAACTGGCAATTTGTATTTCTTAATCCCCCGCCCCTTTGCTGCCCATCCCCCAACCCACCTGGCAACCATCAATTTGTTCTCTGTATCAATGAGTTTTTTTGGTTTGTTCACTTTGCTTTTTAGATTCCACATATAAATGAAATAATATGGTATGTACCTTTCTCTGTATGATTTATTTCACTTATCATAATACACTCTAGGTCTATCCATGTTTTGCAAATAGCAAGATTTCATTCTTTTTTTAAAGTGTCAGATTTATTAAGGTATAATTTATAATTTATATACAATAAAGTATAATTGGATGAATTCTAACAAATGCATAGTCCTGGAACCATCAGCCGTCTAGATGAAATATTTTCACCACCCCTTTGCTGCCAGTCTCCTTCCTCCCTGGCACACTGAAGGTAATAGTTACCCAATGGATAAAGTGAGTTCTACAGTCCAATAACTAGAACTCAGTCCAGGAACAACAAAGAAACCAGCCATCTAATCCACCAAACACAAAATACAACAGGAAAAAGGACTGTAATACAGCAGTTCTCAGTATGCAGGACACCAATTTGTGACCTTGTAGCACAATTACTGAGAACATTTAAACAGACCTTGTTTTACAGTTGCTGGGCCTTTTCACTCTCTTGGTTGAATCCCATATCCATGGGATTTACGCCATCTTCATCCTTTAAGTAAGTCCCAAATAAGGCTATTTATACTGGAGAAAAAAAATATATATGTATACATATGTATTTTTTGCACCAACATAGTCCTTGAGCCCTATCACAGATCTAGTAAAACTTCTATGATTCTTATAAAAGGTTCCCTGGGCTAGAGAAACACTGTCCTGTCACAGTGCTAGTTTTATCAAGTCCACACAACTTTGAGTACATTGTGCTTCTGAAAAAGTGTTAGTTTCTGCTAACAGAAATGACAAAATAATGAAAATATCTAGAACCAGTTCTATTTTCCCCTCTTCATTTCTTTAGCTCAAGTTAGAATAATTAAAAAATAAGTTTGGCAAATGAATCCCCCAAAATATCTAGTTACCTACTGTATCTGGAGTACTTTTTATGGCTACATCTGCTGTATTTATATCTGGCTGCTCTAGACTGAAAAAATAAAATACATTTACACAAAAAGGTAGCATTTGCTGTGAATTCTCTAGGCTACTTGCAACAGTCATGGTTCAAATAAAGGGACTGTCCGTGATGTTTGAAATTCAAATAATTTTAAAGTTGAAAACATAATTCTTAAAACTGCATTGACAGTCAATACCCTTTGTTTAAAAATCCTAAAGGGTACTTCTAGTTAAGGTAGAAGTGGTTCTAGGTTAATAGGACCAAATTTGACTTGAGACTCTATCCTTTAAATTGTAGGGAATGGGGTGAAAAAAGAGGTTACTGACAGAAAGCATCTACAGTTACTCAGAGTATAAATTTGGTAACAGAAGAGACTTGTCAGGACATATTGGAATCTCAGAAGCAGTTCTCAAGGAGCTTAATTTTATTTTCTTGGATTTTAAAAATGCCTAAGTTTTTTCATCCTTGATCTTTGGAGGTAGATGGTACTTAAAATGCCCCATATGAACAATTTTATACTCTACAACAACGGTTATATCTGCAGAGATACTGAGCGTTACTGTGGGAGAGAGTAGAGTAGCTTTTGTACAGAAGGTCAGATACCTCAGTGCAACATTAGCTGAACTGGCTCATTCATCTCTATGGTAACAGCTTCCTCTTCTTTATCAACATTACTTAGTATTTCCAAGTTCCCCACTTGCAGAAAACTTCACTCCGTCTGTTGGACAAAGAAATTAACAATAGCATCTGCGATATGACTGAGATCTCAGCATAGGTATACAAATTCATCAGAAGGCATCTTTACTATAGTTATACTCTTGTCCTGGAATTCCAAGTTGTTCAACCTTTAAATCCATTCACTTCATTTCAGAGTCTGAAAACTTTTCTTGATTTGAAGTTTTAAATACTAGTGCCGAGGTGTCCACATTATCTTTAGCCCTAGGGTAATGTCTTCGTTGCCAGCACATTTTAGTATTTTGGACATGCTGGTGAGGTTCACACCCATGGCCAGTTTGCAGTCTCAGCAGTATGCGTTAAAGCCTCTGGAGAACAGAGTAAACTGCACTAAGGAGTGGGACGAAATCATACCACTCGAGCTGATGTCCCAGCAGGCTTCACTGATGAGGTCCTTAAGTGCCTCCAGTATCTTTTTCAGGACAGAACCCTGGACCAGGCACATTTTGAATATGGTGGCTGAGTTGCAATGATGCAGCTGGAGATGAAGGAAGGAAGAAGAGCGTAGCCGGCATAAGCTTCACAGGATGAGTTAAAAGACTCAGCAATGAGAGCCTGAGATCAAGGATGATCTCCTATTTCATTCTTTTTTTTTATGGCTTAGTAATATTCCATTGTCTATAGTATATCATCTTTATCAATTTGTCTTATCAATGAACACTTAGGTTGCTCCCACCACACCTTGGCTATTGTAAATAATGCTGAAATGAACATAAGGGTACATATAGCTGTTCTTTCTTATTTTTTTGTTAAAGATTTTACTTATTTTATTTTTAGAGAGAGAGGGAAGGAGAGGGAGAGAAACATCAATGTGTGGTTGCCTCTCACATGCCCCCTACTGAGGACCCAGCCTGCAACCCAGACATGTGCCCTGACTGGGAATCAAACAGGCAACCAATTCACTCAAGCTGGCACTCACTCCACTGAGCCACACCAGCCAGGGCAGCTTTTCTAATCAGTGTTTTTTTTTCTTTTTTCTTTCAATACCCAGAAGTAGAATTGCTGGGTCATAGCGTAGTTCTGTTTTTAATTTTTTGAGGACACTCCATACTGTTTTCCATAGTGGCTATACCAATTTACAATCCCACATCTCAAGGGGTTCATTTTCTTCACATCCTCACCAACACTTGCTGTTTAATCATTTATTGATGATAGCCATTCTGACAAGTGTGAGATGATATCTCACTGGGTTTTGATTTGCATTTCCCTGATAATTAGTGACACTGAACATTATTTCACATGTCTATTGACCATCTGTGTGTCCTCTTTGGAGGAATGTCTATTCAGATTCCCTGCCTGTTTTTAAATCAGATTGTTTATTTTTATGATGTTGAGCTGTTTGAGTTCTTATATAGTTTGGATATTAATACTTTATCAGATACATTATTTGTAAATATTTTCTCCCATTAAGTAGGTTGCCTTATTGTTTTGTTGATGGTTTCCTTTGCTGTGCAAAAGCTTTTAAGTTTGATGCAGTCCTATTTGTTTATTTTTGCTCTTGTTGTCTTTGCCTGAGGAAAAAATATCCAAAACAGGTATTGTTAAGACAAATGTCAGTTTACTGTCTATGTTTTCTTCTAAGAGTTTCATGGTTCCAGTCCTTACACTTAAGTCTCTAATCCATTATTTTTTTATATAGTGTAAGAAAGTGGTCTAATTCCCGTTTTTGCATGTATCTGTCTAGTTTCCTCAGCACCATTTTTGAAGGTACTATCTTTACCCCATTCTTGCCTTTGTCATAGATTAATTGGTCTATAGGTATGGGTTTATTTCTTTCTAGGATCTCTATTCTGTTCCAATGATCTATGTGTCTGTTTTTATGCCAGTACTTTGCTGTTTTGATTACTATAGCCTGTTTTAAAGTGGATTTTGTCTGATATATTGGTACTCTAGCTTTTTGTTTCCATTTGCATGAAATATTTTTCTATTCCTTATATTCAGTCTGTGTGTCTATCTGAAGTGGGTCTCTTTTAGGCAGCATATATACAGGTCTTTTTTGTTGTTGTTGTTGTTAATCCATTCAGCCACCCTATGTATTTTGATTGGAACATTTAATCCATTTACACTTAAAGTAATTATTGATAGGAATATAGTTATTGCCATTTCATTGTTTTCTGATTGTTTTGTATTTTTCTGTTTGGTTAATATTCTCCTGTATGTTGATCACTTTCTACAGTGTTTTTTTTAGATTCCTTTATTTTTATTTCTTATAAATCTCTTAGAGATTTTTGGTTTGTGGTTACCATGTACTGCATATGTATCAAATTATATTTATAGTAGTCTATCAAAGTAGATTTTCCCTTAAGATTGAATACATTCTAAAATCTAGTTTTTACTCACCAACTTATATTTGTTTTTGTCATTATTCTTTTTACCCCTTAATCTATTTTAAGCACACAATCTTCCTACTTTTGTCTTTAACCTTTGTACTAGATTAATAATTGGTTAATCTACTGTTCTTACTGTTTGCCTTTGTCAGTAAGACTTTTCCTTCCTATATTTTATTCATATTTTTCATATTACTTTTCTACTTAAAGTTCCTTTAACATTTCTGGTTTAGTGGTGATAAACTACTTTAGTTTTTTTTTCTTTCCTGGGAAACTCTCGACCTCTCCTTCGATTTTAAATGACAGCCTTAATGGGTAGAGCAATCTTCCTTTAAGTTTTCCCTTTCATCACTTGGAATATTTCATGCCATTCCCTTCTGGCTTTCAGTGTCTCTGTTGGAAAATCAGCTAATGATCTTGTGGGAGTGCTCTTCTCTGTAACTAGCTGCCTTTATTTTTCTACTTTAAAAATTCTCTCTGTCTCTAACTTTGGGCATTTTAATCATGATGTGTCTTACTGTGGGCCTCTTGGGTTCTTTGTGTTTGCAACTGCTCACTTCCTAGACTTCTATGTCCATTCACTTTGCCAAGTGAGGTAAGTTTTCAGTCATTATTTCTTCAAATAAAATTTTTAATTTTTAAAATATTTTACTGATTATGCTATACAGTTGTCCCAATTTTCTCTCTTTGCCCCCCTCTACCTGGTACCCCCACTTCCCTTGAGCAATCCCCCCCTTAGTTCATGTCCACTGTTCATGCATATAAGTACTTTGGCTACTCCATTTCCTACACTGTTCTTAACATCCTCCTGTATATTTTGTACCTACCTATTTGTATTTCTTAATCCCTGCACCTTTTCCTCCATTCTTCCCACCCCCTCCCAAATGATAATCCTCCAAATGATCTCCATATCTATGATTGTTTGCTTAGTTTGTTTTTTAGATTCAGTTGTTGATAGTTGTGAATTTATTACCATTTTAGTGTTTGTAGTTTTGATTTTCTTAAGTCCCTTTGAACATTTCATATAATAATGGATTAGTGATGATGAACTCCTTTAGATTTACCTTGTCCAGGAAGCACTTTATCTGCCCTTTGATTCTAAATGATAGCTTTGCTGGGTAGAGCAATCTAGGTTGTAGGTCCTTGCTTTTATCACTTTGAATAATTCTTGCCAGTCCCTTCTAGCCTGCCAAGTATCTTTTAAAAAAATAAGCTGACAGTCTTATGGAAACTCCTTTGTATGTAATGATCTGCTTTTCTCTTGCTGCTTTTAAGATTCTCTCTTTATCTTTAACCTCTGGCATTATAATTATGATGTGTCTCGGGGTGGTCCTCTTTGGGCCCATCTTGTTTGGGACTCTCTGTGCTTCCTGGATTTGTATGTCTGTATCTTTCACCAACTTAGGGATGTTTTCTTTACTTTTCCAATTTCTTGCTATTTCTCTTCTTCTGACACCCCTATGATTCATTTGGTGTGTTTGAAGTTGTCCCAGAAGCTCCTTAGCCTATCCTTGTTTTTTTGGATTCTTTTTTCTTCTTGCTGTTCTGACTGAATGTTTTTTTCTTCCTTACATCCCAAATCATTGATTTAATTCTCAGCTTCATCCCTTCCATTGTTGGTTGCATGTATACTTTCATTTTACTTAGTTTCTTGAGCATCCTAATAACCAGTGCTTTGAACTCTGCATCTGATACATTGATCATCTCCATTTTGTTTAGTTCTTTTTCTGGAGTTTTGCTCTGTTCTTTCATTTGGGCCATATTTCTTTGTCTCATTTTGGCAGCCTCCATGTTTGTTTCTATGCAGTAGGAAGAGTTGCTATGACTCCTTGTCTTAAGAATTGTGGCCTATTATAGAAAAGTACACTGGTAAGTTGGATGGGGTGGAGCCTTATTTAATCACCAAGGCATGGCCAACCATGTCACTGCTTTGTGGCTCTGTGTGGGGAAGGGCTCAGGTGGAAACAATGCTACTGCCTGACCTCTGGAGTTTTATCTCAGAGGAGTCTGTCTCCCAGTACTCACCCTGATACCACTCACTTCAATTTCTCCCTGTATGCCACTGGTACTCTTCCAGCTGTTGCCCTGGTACTAAAGCCAGGGAGTGAGTCTGCGTAAGTCCAAAGTCCATTGTGGGCCCTTTAAGAGGAGATTCCTGAGAATCCCTCAATTTCTTATGCCACCCTAACCTCCACTGGTTTTTACAGCCAGAAATTATGGAGACTTATTTTCCTGGCACTGGAACCCTGAGATGGGTGGTCTGGTATGAGGCTGGGATCTCTCACTCCTGAGGTATGCCTCCCGATTTTTATCTACTACACATAGGTGTGGGATCCCCCGTTCCACATCTCTGTACTTCTCCATGTCTCCATGCTTCTCTATATCTCCTTACCTCTCCACGTGTCTCTGTGTCTCCACCCCTCCTACCCATCTGGATGAAGGTGGCTTTAATTCCTTGGTTATCAGACTTCCATACAGCTTGATTTTCTGATGATTCTGGGTTATTTTTCTTTTGTAACCTAGTTGTAATTTTTGCTGTGGTTGTATGAGGAGGCAAACCATATTCATCTATGCCTCCTTGACTAGGAGATCTTAGTTTCTAATACCACTCTTCAATAAATGAAACAAAGATTCCTTAGAAAAATGGCTGATTCTAGGACTGGGACAGGAAATACATGAGATACATGGAATATCCTCTAATGTCAGAAAGTAAGGAAATGCGCTTCTGCCTCCGTATTCTTAACCACCACAGCTGCTATAGTTCTTCAAATGGATTTTCAATCCCTTTCCCTCCCCTCTTCTCCTTCTGAGACTCCTATTATGTGAATGTTAATACACCTGACATTGTCCCAGAGTTCCCTTAAACTAGCCTCATTTTAAAAATGTTTTCTTTTTGCTGTTCCAATTGGGGATTTTCTACTACTCTGTCTTCTAGACCACTGCTTCAATTCTCCGCTTCATCTAATCTGCTGTTCATTCCCACTAGTATATTCATTTCAGTTACTACATCTTCAATTCTGACTGGTTCTTATGTTTTCTATCTCATTTGACATGTTTTCTCTTTGTTTATGTTCTGAGTTCATCTATTCTCCCATAGTTCAAGGAGCATTCTCATAAACAGTGTTTTGAACTCTATCTGGTAGATTGTTTATCTCCATTTCATTTAGTATTTTTTTCTGGAGTTTTTTCATTTGGGACATGTTTCTTTGTCTCTTCATTTTGGCCAACTTCATGTTTGTTTCTATGTATTAGGTAGATCTGCTACATCTCCCAGTCTTGACAGAGCGGCCTTATGTAGGTGTTCTGTAGGGCTCAGTGGCAGTCAGTCTTCCTGGTGCTCCAGGGTTGTCCTCTGTGTAGGTTGTGTTGGGCCTCAGTTCCTGCTGGTAAATCAGTGGGTAGAGCTGACTCTTCAGCTGACTGGCTGTGAGGGCTGGCTATAACTACACTGGACCAGCTGTAGTTATGTGGGGACTGTCCGCATGACGTAGGCTCTGATGCCAGCTGAGGCTGCCTTTCGTGTGTCAGTTGTGGAACTGGTACCCTCTAGAGCCTCTTGGGAGGGGCCCCAGTGCAGGCCAAAGTCAGTTACCATTTGTGCCAGGCTTGGGGTCACTTGGCATATAAGCAACAAAGTGATCTGTGTTTGATTTTTACTTGTGCTGGGCTTGGAGGTACTTGGCAGAGGCTATGCTGAGAACCAAGACCAGGTGCCTCTTGTGCCAGGCTTGGGGCCAACTGTTGGGAGTTACAGTGCAAGCTGAGACTGATCACCATTTGTGCTGGGCTTGGGGCCACTTGTCAGAAGCTACAGTGCGTGATGAGGCCTGCCACTGCTTGTCTAGAGTTCTGGGGCAGCTGCCACTTGTGGGATTTGTAGACATTTGTGAAAATCTGCAGCGCAAGACTATAGCACTCCTGTGAGGTTTGTAGATTTGGGGGCAAGTCCACAACACAAGCTGAAGTGAGCTGATTTTGTGGAGTAGCCACTGGAAGACGCTTGGGCCAGGCAAGCAGATTGGATGGAACAAGGTCTCAGGGAATCACCAGTGAGGGGTGAATGGTGTTAGGTTAATGGAAAGCACAGATTTGGTGCCCACCTTAGCTGGGCCAGCTGGGTGGGAGAGTTCAACATTGGTGTCTGCCGGGACTTATCTTTGGAGAAAGGTGCCCAATCCCTACCCCTTCAGCCACTGTCCTAAAGTATGTCAATTTAGTTCTTCCCATATGTCTCAGGCACTTTTCAAGCTGCTGCCCCTGTGCTGGTGCTTAGAGGGAGTTTGTGAGCAAGTGATTCTGTGTGTGGCCCCTTTAAGGGCAGCATCTCATCTCTGGCAGCTCTTTTTCTTGGACAGAATTCCTGATGGTTTTCACAGCCAGATGTTATAGGGACTTCTCTTCCTGGCTCTGGGTACTCTAGGCTGGGACACCTGGTGTAAGGGCAGGACCCTTTGTTTCTCAGTGGGGGACCTCTGCAGTAGATATCCCTCCTGTTTCTTAATTGTCACACTGTGTGTGGGACCTCCCCAGTCTACATCTCCACCCCTCAACCAGTCTTGATGTGGCTTCTTCTTTATGTCCTTTGTCATAGGATTTCTGTATAGCTAGTCTTCAGATGGTTGTCAGTGGTGGTACTTCTATAATTTAGTTGTAATTTTGGTCAGGAGGAGGTGATTTCAGAGGTTACCTACTTTGCCATCTTGACCAGAAGTCAAGAATGTCTTTAAATCTTAATGATTTTTTGATTTATCAGTTTTACAATTCTAGGCTGCTTGGTGCAGCTGAAAGGCTATTTCATTTTCTCCCTATAAATTAATTTTAGAAACTTTATTCTCAAATAATCTCCTATTTTCAAACCTGCTATGGTTGATTGGCTACCTCTTGATATAAAGGAGGGGGCAGGAAAGACATTCCTGATGCTTGTTTCTCAGTGGGGGACCTCTGCAGTAGATATCCCTCCTGTTTCTTAATTGTCACACTGTGTGACAATTAAGGAGGACCTGGCAGTCCAGAGACAGAAACTCATGGACAGGACTCAGGGCTTGAAAGTTAGAAGCTAGTCAACCAGATCCTATGTCCCCATTTCAACACTTCAGAATGTGTTCGGAGAGGCAGGGCACATACTGGGAATAACAAGAGTCACAGGTGACAGGAGAGGTAGGTGCTTCACACACACAATCTCTGGTCATACTGTTAGCCCTGGTCACACAGTGTACCATTTCTGTCTCATTATTCCACTTTTATTTGCTCATGAAAGGCTGCTTACCTCTCAGAGATACAGTATTTGGCATGACTAAATTCAACTAACAGTATTTTCAAAGTCAACACCCATACACTGTCTCTCTGACAAGCACAAACCAATGAGACTCACTCCAATCTTGCCATTTCCTCTGTGACAAGCGTGCAAGCAGGTGGTCTGAGGCAGGGTTTAGTGATGTCATATCTCTGAGGGTCTGGGATCTCAGCAGTTGCTACTTCCAGCCCCAGGAGGTCTGGGCATATAGTAAACCTCTCCCTACTCAGTCCCCTTCCATTCAAAGGCCAGAAGGCACAATTCAGGACAAAGAACTAGGTAAGAAAGAGACCAGGGATAAACCAAATGACTAGATAACCAGTCTCCAGAGAAATTAAATAATCACTCTTTATTCCAAATAAATAAGCCCTCTTACAGGAAAATAGGAAAGTAATGCTTGTCTCCTGGCTTCTGAGATAGAAACCACATTCAGAATATATTCATTTACAAAAAAAGAGATGTAGATTATCAAAACTGAAATTTAGGAACTTCAGTATACATTGTTTCTATGAAAAATAAAGACTAAAAGAAATAATTCATGTCAAAGGCCACAAGTTAGAATAGAAAACTGATTTTCCTTTTGAGGCTCATTTTAGCAAACCCTCCAATCTCCCTGCTGAAAAGCCATGTCCTGAGGAGGGGCCCTCCCTCCCTCCCGCTCTAACGCTGGCTCCCTGCAGGGCTGCATCATCATGACAAAGAGGACATCAGCCACATTGCTCCCGTAGTCCACAAACTAACTTGGCTCAGCTCTTCTGCAATGGACAGGATGTTTCCTCAGCAGCAGAAGACTCAGAGTACCACGTTTTCCAGTGTTTTCCAGATTCACAGTGTGCTCAGAGGGCTTTTAGGAAAGGTTCAGTCAGTATGCCCGGGTGCTTGTTCATGGGACTTGCACTATGAATGTCACAAAGGCTGCTTCCTGTGCCCTCCATGCTGCTAATGTCCCAATTAAACACATTACAAATACATTAGATCAACGAAGAACTAAGAAGGAACACGAAGTTGTTCAAAACTCCTTACCCCAAATACACAAACACCAAAAAACTCTTCTTATAAATTCAGGTTCATCATCTGAGAGGTTGAAGACTCCAGTGATTCTTCTAGCTCCAGGGCACACTGACTGTATGCTTCCAGATGTTTTCTCCAGACTTCAACTGTAAATGAGAAAGTGGCACAACTATGAATAGGCAGGGGCAGTCAGAACAGTCTCTCGTGGGAAGCGTACTGTTCAGCGGCTCAGTCCCCTAGGTGGGGTCTGGCATGGGTTCAACCCACCATCTCCAATGCACCCCTGCACCCCAATAGTGAGCATTATCAATCACACCTCAGCATTTGGTGACCTTATCAACCTTCTGCCAAGGATATAGCTGTCCTTGCAGCCACCCCTCTCTCTGGAGGCCATCTGACAAGCAGTTTGAGAACACCTCTCAGGCAATGGACAGGACTGAACTGGGCCTTCCACATCTGGTGCTATTGCAGAGTGGCTATGCTGCTCTCCCAGGCACCTGGACTCTTTAACCAAAGTCCACAAAGACTTGAAGGATACTTTGCCCAGACTCAGACCCTCCCCAGCACTCACTGTAGTATGGTTCTTCTGTCTTGGGAGAAGCCAGGGGACTGTCTTCTGCTGAGCAGCTGGTGTCCTGCGCAGGTAGGCTGGCTGGGGCCTGCGACCCAGGCTCTTCTGCCAGCTCCCTGTGCACATTTTCCAGCATGGTCTTATATGCCTCCCGCGCAGCCATCGTCAGCTCAACCATCTTGTGGAACTGGTCCTTGGACAGAAGTGAGTGCACAGGTAATGTCCCCTGACCACAGAAGACAGGGCTCTCCTGCAAACCACAAGGGCACCCTACACAGGGAAGGCTGACAACTGCCTAAGTTGCCACCCTGAGAGAACAAGGTGTCTACAGCACCTCTGTGGCAGTAGTAATCCCAGAGCTAAACTTGGAATCACACTTCCTTCCATGCTATTACAGAAACGGAAGTCCACTGAGGCTGAGTGGCTCTGTTGGGCTCTGTCTGTGGACCATACCATCTCTACTATCTCCCTCCCACAAGCAGTGCTGACAGGCTAGAGCCTCCTCCCCACTCACCTGGGCCCCATCATAACTGAAGATCCCCACAATGCTGACAGGAACAGCTTTGTTCAAACTGCGCCCCAGAGCTTTGCGGTTGAGGGCAAACACGAAGGGAATGTTCTGTTCACAGGCATAATTGATAATGGTGTGCAGGGTGTCATCCAACCCACCTGTCCAAGGATAAGGAAACATGGTAGGAATACTGGTTGGAAGGGCTTTTGCTACAAACAATAATACTCTCCAGATACCTTCTTTATTCCAGTCAGTAGCCTGTGCCAGAGGTTACCAGGAGAAAACAGGTCATTGCAGTATAAGTACACTATTCCTCTCAGCCATGTGGAAGAATTCATACAAAAGACCATTCCTTAGTGTAATGAAACATGTCTACATTGAGTCACCAGCTGGCATTACACCTAATAAAGTCTTAGGAATATTTATTAAACGCTCACTAAATGCCAGGCCACTGTTCTAACTTCCTCATGTATTACTTCCTGCATCTTCACACAACACTCCACTTACAGATGGGAATCTGTAAGATTCCCTAGAACGCATGATGGAGAAATGACTCCACTCATGAAAGCTATCACAAGATTATAACAGGCAGGAATCAATTTATCAGGACACACAACAGATCTACAGAGCAACTTCAACATGGTATTAAAACACAACAGAAAATTAAAACAAACAAAAGTCATCTCTGCTCTTGGACAGGATGATCCAAAATTATAACATATTGATTCTACATCAAGCTAAAACTTTGAAGCACTATGACTCACTACAAATGGATTTTAAAAAATATATGGAAAAACACACAAGTAAAAAGAGCATTTTGAAAAAGGAAAATATCAGGCTAGCATTGTCAGACATTAAAAGTGTGCTACAGCCCTGACTGGTGTGGCTCAGTGGGTTGGTGTCGTTCTGCAAACCAAAAAATCACTGGTGTGATTCCCAGTCAGGGCACATGCCTGGGTAGTGGACCAGGTCCCTGTTTGGGGGCATACGAGAAGCAACCAATCAGTATTACACATTGATGTTTCCCTCTCTTGACCTCTCTCTCAAAATATAAATTAAAAAAATATTAAAAACAAACAAAAAACAAGTGTGCTATACAGCTACAAGAATGCAAATAAGGGAATGCAGGTGACAGGACAGAGAGTCCAGAAATGACCCAAATATGCAGATCTTGAGCATGTGAGGAAGATCATTTCAAAGCAGTGGAGAAGGGACAATTGGGCCAGCCTCTACAAAGATCTATCTTAGACTGAAATACATGCTACATAAACAAATATGAAAACATGGCGAACAGGGGAAAAAAAATCAGAATTAAGGAAACTTTAATCCCCTGGGAGGAGGAAGGACAAGGACTGATATAAAACCTAGATGTGATAAAAATATAGGAATAAAAAATACCAATATACACATCTACTCCCTGTATGGTCAAAAAAAAAAAAAAGGTGAAAACAGGCTACTGAAAAACCAGAAAAACACTTATCACTCAATAAAAAGGGTTAACTTCCTTGTTTTTAAAAAATGTAGTATCTATGTAAAAAGTCAACATCCCAAAAGAAAAATGGGCAAATAATATGAACCAACAGCAGAAAATACCATGCCCTTAAAACAAGTGAAAAGATGCTCAACCTCCCTCTCAAGTCAGTGGGGCAAGGAGGGGGTGCACTCAGCCTATGGGGGCCATGGTGTCTCTAGAGATATTAGGCACAGCACTGTTATATATGCACATGGCCTTCCATTCTCCATATGGCACCTACAGAGATGTTCATACAAATAAGCAATAGTGTTTAAGTCACTGACAGGTGTGAAGTCTGAAAACAACTGATGTGTCCATCGTATGGGACTGTGCAGTCTTTCAAGAGCAACACAGTCTGTATGCACCAGTGTAACGAAAGGATCTGGAGACACCGAAACTATAAAACAAGGTACACATGGGTCCAGGAGGCCAGATCACACACACACAGTGTTTATAGATACACATGGACTATCAATAATACATAAAAATCTGGCAACAGTGGCCACTTCTGAGCAGCTGGAGGAATATGAGGGATTCACCTCTCAAAAGAAAGTAATAAAATAATGGATCCCACCCCTCGCATAGTGAGCTGTTTTAACCTGGCATCTAGAAGGACCACAGCATGTGTCACACGCTCCTTCCCTCCGCATGTAGACCTCTTCTATAAGGACATACAACATCTCCATGAAATGAAAAGATTCCCCAATACCTCTTACCCTCTGGGAACTAAATACATGGTTACTGAATTTACTTTCAAGAGAGGAACTTCCCTAGTGTATATCCTCTGATGCTGTGCAAACTGGAAACTCAATTCTGCAGCTGGTGTATCTGGGCATTAATTTTTAAGCCCTACATCCTTTAATTTGTCTATACCTACTCCAGATCTACCAGAAGAATATAAAGAGACAACCCCTGGGGATATAAATGCCAAAAAAACCCACCAGTTCTAGGTAGGCTGGGGAAAGGGGAGGCAGGCAGAGATAGGGTGAAAGATATGAATATAATTACAAGTTACCACCAGAGACTGCCTGAGTCCTCTAAATGGCAGCTGAGTCTTCTATCCTTCCAGGGTTTCTCTGCCTCATGTCCAGCTCAGCCCTGGGCTGATCACGAATGAAAGTTCAGTAGTAGGCAGAAAAGATCAACCCAGCCAGCTGACTGCTGCTGTCCCTATATAGACCTGGTTGTGCAGTTGGACCTTGGATGACAACAAAAGTTAGGTGTAGAGAGGGCTCCCTATCTGGTCAGAGTGGCTACTGTGCCTGTGCTGCTTGTGGGAGCTCTGAGGTTTATGCTGAGACCAACTTCCTTCTGGGAGTTGGTATGTGTCAGGCAGAGGGTGTCCACGTGACCACAATGTGTTTTAAATGCGTAACAAATCCTCAAGATGCCCATCAGTAAAATCTGAGCTCAGTTCTCTGGCACAGAGGACTGTTGACGAAATACAAACATACCCATTTTTTTTGTTTGTTTTTTAAAGATGTAAATGCACAAAAGAAGGAGAGGTCCTCCTTCAGCCCCAGATGTCTCATTACGACAGGGAAAACTGGACCCTGCCCCAAGCTAAGATGGGTGAGACTGCTAGGCTGGCAACTGAGCATGTCTCATTACCGTTCTTGGGCCCCTGGGGGCTGCAGACAAGTAAGGAAATTTCAAGTCTTCAGATATGACATAGCAACTGAAAAGCTCACTTGCAAAGGCAATTCCACTGAACTGAAGTTGTCACAGCTGGACAAAGGAGGGTGATGGGGAAAGCAGAGTGAATGTCCAGGCACATACATGGAGGGCCGATGTCTACAGTGATGTTCTGCTCCTGACTATCAGTTCGCCTATTGCAAAGTCCAAGGAGGACATATAATGGACAAGCCAAGGGCCACTAGAGAGAGGTCACATACAGAGGTTCACTGTCAATCACCTCACCAGCATTTCAGATCCCACAAAACAGAACCAAACTTGTAGCATTAGTAAGACAGCCAAGTGCTTGGACAAACCCACATCTTTAATGAGGGAGCAGGCACAGGAGTTCATCACAGACAGAACCAGGAAATTTAAAATGGGACATAAGGACCTGGACAGTGCAGCTAAGTGGATTGGGCGCCATCCTGCAAAGCAAAAGATCACCAGTTCAGTTAGAGGTCAGGGCACATGTCTGGGTTGCTGGGCAGGTCCTGGGTTGGGAGCTTGCAAGAGGCAACTGACTGATGTTTCTCTCCCTTTCTTTCTCCCTCCCTTCCCCTCTCTCTTAGTAAAATCTTTAAAAAAATAAAATAAGGACTTTTGGCCAAGATGGAGGTGTAGGTACATACACTGTGCCTCCTTGCACAACCAAAAGAAGGACAAACAACAAATTTAAAAACAAAATACAACCAGAACTGACAGAAAATTGAACTGTATGGAAGTCTGACAACCAAGGAGTTCAAGAAGAAACATTATCCAGACCGGTAGGAGGAGTGGAGATGGGCAGTCAAGGCAGAGCTGGAGGACCAGGAAGGTCAAAGTGGCAGCTGCCAGACTGGGAGAAGTGGTGGCTGGTGGAGTGGGCAGTCCCACATTTGTGTGTGGAAAAAATGGACAGAACAACTGGGGAGCAAGACAGACCACACAACCCAGGGTTCCACTGTGGGGAAATAAAGCCTCAAAAGTTCTGACTGAAAAAACATGTGGTGGTTGAGGCAGCAGGAGAAACTCTAGACTCATAGGAGAGTTTGTTGGAGAGACCCACAGGGTCATAGAATGTACACAAATCCATTCAGGAATTAGCACCAGAAGGGCCCAATTTGTGGGTATCAGAGGAAGTGACTGAAAACCAGCTGATAGCTGAGCAAGCAGCATTGTTCCCTCTCTGACCAATCCCCCACATACAGTGCCACAACACACCAACATGGGTTGCCCTCCCTGGTGAATACCTAAGGCTCTGCCCTTTACTATGTAACAGGTGTGCTGAAACAAAAACATATGGCTGATAAGAACAGATCAAAGCGCCAGAAAAAATATAACTAAGCAATAAAGAGATAGCCAGCTTATAGATACACAGTTCAAAACACTGGTTATCACGATGCTCACAAAAATGGTTGAGTATGGTTGCAAAATAGAGGAAAAAGTGAAGTCTATGAAAAGTGAAATAAAGGAAAATGTACAGGGAACCAACAGTGGTGGGAAGAAAACTGGGACTCAAATTAACAGTTTGGGCCAGATGGAAGAAATAAGCATTCAATCAGAACAAAATGAAACAAGAATACAAAAAAATGAGGAGAGGCTGAGGAACCTCCGGGACAACTTTGAATGTTCCAACATCTGAATCACAAGGGTGCCAGAAGGAGAAGAGAAAAAGCAAGAAATCGAAAACTTATTTGAAAACATAAGGAAGAACTTCCCCAATGTGGCAAAGGAAATAGACTTCTAGGAAGTCCACGAAGCTCAGAGAGTCTCAAAGAAGTTGGACCCAAGGAAGCACACACCAAGGCACATCACAGTTATATTACCCAAGATTAAAGAGGAGAGAATCTTAAAAGCAGCAAGAGAAAAGGAGACAGTTACCTACAGAGGAGTTCCCATTAAAAGTACCAGCTGATTTCTCAAAAGAAACCCTGCAGGCAAGAAGGGGCTGGAAAGAAGTATTCAAAGTCATGAAAGGCAAGAACCTACATCCAAGATTATTATATCCAGCAAAGCTCTCATTTGGCATGGAAGGGTAGATAAAGTGCTTTCCAAATAAGGTCAAGTTAAAGGAGTGCATCATCACCAAGCCCTTATTACATGAAATGTTAAAGGGGCTTATAAGAAAAAGAGGAAGAACAAAAATATGAACAGTAAAATGATAACAAATACAACTATCAACAACTGAACCTTAAAAAAAAAAGAAAACAAAGACAAACTAAGCAAACAACTAGAACAGGAACAGAATCACAGAAATGGAGATACAGGGAGGGTTATCAGAGGCGAAGGGGAAATGGGGGAAAAGTACAGGAATAAGTAGCATAAATGGTAGGTACAAAATACACAAGGGGAGGTTATGAATAGTATAGGAAAGGTAGAAGCCAAAAAACTTATATGTATGACCCATGGACATGAACTAAGGTGGGGGAAATGTGGGTGGGAGAGGGTGTGCAGGGTGGAGGGGAATAAAGAGGGGGGGAATGGGACAACTCTAATAGCATAACCAATAAAATATATTAAAAAAAAAAACAACTAGAACAGGAACAATAGCACAAGAATGGAGATCACATGATGGGTATGGAGAAAAAAGTAAAGGAAGTAAGTAGCATAAATGGTAGGTACAAAATAGACAGGGGAAGGTTAAGAATAGTATGGGAAAGGTAGAAGCCCAAGAACTCATATGTACAACCCATGGACATGAACTAAAGGGGTGGAGGGGGGAAGGTGGGTGGGAGGGGAGGTGCAGGGTAGAGGGAAATAAAAGGGGGGAAAAATGGAACAACTGTAATAGCATAATCAATAAAATATATTAAAAAAAAGCAAAATGAAATGGACAGAAGCCCACTGCCTGGCTGCCAGTCACAAAACCTCTGTGGTGTAAGTGACATTGACTCTCTCTTGCTCCAATGCAAACCAATGCCATGCCCAGCAAGCCATATAATGGAACACATACTTTCTTGCTGCCAGAGGCCTGCAGGGCCTGGCTAGAACTATGCCATGAAGACTATAGGGGCTTGGTTGCCTCACAGAGTAAGGCATGTGGTGGGCACATAAACGCCAGAAGCAAATTACTCAATTAAAAGGAAACACTGCCCATGCCTCACTGCTGACTAAGGCATGGTAAGCAATGTACCGGGGTCAACAAGGCACCATTACCTTTCGACTGTATTTTCTCACAGTTGGGAGAGATGATGACGCACTTCAGCTTTCTGAGCTTCAGATGTTTGAGCACCTCCCTCAGCCCCAGCACAAGCCGGCGTTTGGTCTTGGCTTTGACGGGATCTTTCTGGTACATACGGTCTTGGAAACGGACCAGCTCTTTGAGCAGATCCGTAACACAGGCATCCACCTCTTTACTGAGCACCTGGCTGCAATAACTAAAAGCAACGTTAGATGACATCAGCTTTCTGCTGACTGTGACGCTGTAGGTTGCTCACATCCCACCTCAAGAGAAATGCAGATGACACAGCCCCACTCAGGAAATCATACTTTGACGAGCAATACTAATCAAAAGTGGGGTTCCTGACTTAATAAAAGATAAGGACTGAAGCACCCTCCTACACTGCCACCTACGAGGGATAGAAGCTCTACACACCCTCCTCTACCATGACTTGCCAAGTGTGCCCCTATTGTGTCCATTCCCTGTGCACCTCTCTTCCTGAAAACACCTGGAGACTCTGCCCTGAAAGAAAAGTGTGGTGTGGAGAAGAGCTCCCTAAGAAATTATATGGAGAAATTAAATCATGAAAGGGAACCCAAATGTCATGTACTGTCACTCATCAGTCATTCCCAACTGGAAACCTGGATTTATAGGCACCTCTGCCATCACATCAGTAGGATGACAGACCTCATAGAAGCAGATTCAGTAGCCCTGACCAGTGGTATGACTAAGTACCTGGCCACTTTTACTGGAAGGATAAAAACATGGGCCCAGCTCTCCGCTTTCCAGTCTGAGCACATCGGGGTGAGACAACTCTCACCTAAGGCCAAAGTAAGCATAGCACCCCCTCCCATCCCCTAAGAGCTCACTCACTCCCTGAATCTTCGGCTGTGGATCTTGGGGCAGCTGGCACCTTCAGGGACCAAGTAGCAGGTTGCTGCCTCCTTATCGATCTCAGTTTCCAGTGGCTCTTCTGAGCTGCTCTCTACCGCAGGAGTGGAGCACAATGACACTTCTGTTTTCCCTGGACCTTCACAGGAAAAAAGTTATGGCCCACGGCGTTTCGCATAGCACTGTCACCAGAGCAGCCAGATGCAACCCATACCCACCTCATTCAAATACAGCTGCTGAGCACCACAGTTGGCAGCAGAGTGATGGGAATGACTTTGGAACAACAGAAGAACCTAGCAACTTTCTGTTCTGCCTGAAGTGTCTTCCTAAACCCAGTTATTTACTTTTACTGTGGGAAAATATTTATAAAACTTACCATTTTAACTATTTTTAAGTATGTGGTCCAGTAAATGAAATTTATATTTTAATTTTTTAATTTAATCTGAAGTACCTATCAGGAAGTGTTAAAAACAGGATGTGTTCTGAATTTTTTGCACCTATATGCTTGAGACTATTCTTTTATCAAATAATCCTTAAATAAGAGCTAAACTATAATATCTAATTTATAAGAGCCCCCTCACAGGGTGTGTTTAAACACATCAGACAGGATTCAGTAATTGCTACAGTCCACAAATGTTTCCTTCTAGAGATTTCCAGAGTGCAAGTGAGGTATTAGCTCACCAGAGAAGGAATTCAGGAGCACACACACCAACCAGGATGGCAGACACAATAAAGACTATGTCTTTCAAGATGACCTCTCCCCACTGTAGGTGGAACTGGTAACACACCTGAAAGCCACTGGCAGGAGCCTGAGGCTGGACAGCATGGACCCAAGTTTGCAATCCACCCAGGGAAATGCCAGTAGGAGGGAGTGCCCATACCCTCCACACACCTCAGTGATTCTGCATCTAATGGCACCATGGCACGTTTGTACAACTAGACTCTGTGCAGCAATGACAATTGGGAATTGCCCCTATGGGCCACAGTCATACTGCTGGCCAGGGGGCACCCACTGCAAGATGTCCTGGGAAGGAAGCCCAAAGGCCTAATAGTGCAGCTGTGGTTGAGGCCAGGCCTTGGGCTGAGACACCAGGAACAGTAGGGCTGCTCTGTTCCTCAAGTTAGTGCTGTGTTCACTTTGTGAAGTCTTCAAGCTATATCCTTAGGACTTGTGCACTTTCCTGAGTGTATCATTCAACAAAAAGTTTACTAAACACTTTCTTTTTAAGATACTGTATTTGCACTCATGGGAAGCAGCTTTGCAGTTAGTGGGATAAGTTCTCAAAGCTGCTTCAAGTGGCAAGGACCATCTAATGCCATACAGATGAAACTCAGGGGCCTCATCCCCTGTCCCTCACAAGCCCACTGCCCATGTGGACATCCTCTTACTGTCAAGTTTGAGTCTAAAAAGGTCTGTATTCTCAGGGTTCAACGCTGTTTTGCTTTTACCACAAAGTAGCCAGAGGCTGGCAGAATTCTGGGTGGTTTGCTGCACACAGTTGCCCCACTGAAGGATTCTTTAAGACACAACCAAAAGAACTAGGTAACTAAAGGCTCACCCTGTTCGAGAGCCAGGTCATCACCGCCATTCTCTACATCTTGCATATCGTCAACTGCTGGGCTCACAGCATTTTCTTGGAGACGCTGCTGCTTTCTCTCCTCCCGTTCTTTCAAAATAATCTTTAAAATTGAATAAATGATTAAAATACCTAAATATCTATACTTACAAATAAGGTCTTCTTCAACTCAAGGTTGGCTTACTGGCAGTGTGCCCATCTATGCCTTCACAGTGGCAACATGACCACACCCCCACCCCATCCTGGGGGGCTGGGCCAGGAGCAGCATATCCCTCACTCAGGTGCACTGAGCAGGATACATGCAGCCTGGATTCTGATGCAACACCTGACCCCAGACAAGACACTTGTTCCCCATCTGAGACTGACCACACTCCACAGGCGTGCAACAGCCCTGATAGATTATCTACCAGGAAGTGTCCAATGGTCATTGAATCTGAAGAGCAGGCAGATCCCTCAAGTAGGATGAGGGAATCAAGTGAATAAGGAAAATATAACTCCTTCCATTTTTCATTTTCTGTCCATGTCACTGCAAAGTATTTTTAAAAATGGCTCCCTTCCCAAGCTAGTAGCTGAGGCCACCCCACTATGTCACTAGATGAGTAAGGGATCGCTTCTCAGAGAATCACTAACACATCCTCTAGAAAATGAAAAACTAAAACCTGAGCTGAAAGAAGTAATTCTGTAGGTTTTCTAGTGCCCAGTTTGAAATGCAGCGCCACTCACCTTCTTCAATGAGGTAGGCTTCTTGGCCTTGGGGACCTCCCTCTGCTTCCCCTTCTTCATCAGAGGAGCACTGGAGTCCAAGGGGTTGTGTGGGGTATTCATCTGGCTAAAGCGATGGCCCTTCTTCCCTGATGTGGCCTCTTTAGAGAGAACGGGAACTGCCCCCACTGCAACAAAGTGAGGACACATGCCTCAGGGAGGGCTCCCTGCAGGAATCAGGGGCTACCCATGCCATCCCACCAGTCCCCACAACCCTATTCATCCTCATCAAACTGTCCCTGAGACATTCTTCTAAATGGCAATGGTTGTCATGTAACTTAAGTGTTTTTTCGTAAGAATCCAAAAAAAATCATCAACTAATTCAGGAAGAACCATTTTCCTATCCCTATCATGAAACCTGCTGTTTCTCAGTGAAGTCTACTAATGTGTGAACTTATTTTTTGACTGAGGACATTTCTGGTAGTTTGGATTTACAATGATCCTTTTGAGTAAGTCTCTCTCCACCACTCTCAGTTGATACCACCTTTGCAGAAGTCAGCTACTGGTTACCATATGCATAATTTTTATTTTGTAATGTTATAAGAGTCTTATACCATTTCTAGTTGATTCTTTTGCATTTTTTCACAAATAAATCTATTTTCCCAAATCCCCTCATGTGTTGTAGGTAAAAATCCCTCCAATGTGATTATGATCACTACTCAATGGTTCCACTGCATTCTCTGGCTCTGCTCTACTTTCTACACCTTATTCTTCCTCCCAGGAAACAGTTCATTTGTGTATACTCCCCCCTACTTTTTAATTAGAAAATTTCCAACATACACCAAAGAAAAGAGAACAGTGTAACAGCAAAATCTATGTCCAGCTTCAACCATCAATATTTTTCCAAATGTATTTACCCAAACTCCTTAAATGTGGAATTTAGGTTATTAGTATGTTGTTAATCAGGTGTATCCATTAACTCTCTCCTGTGTGACTCCCTGCTACAGTGTAGAATGTGTCTACTATGCCCCTGCTCCGGTGCCATTTCTAGCCTTGGCTATGGCACAGAAATTGGCTACGTGTGGAAATGTGCTCTTACCATTATGTTTAGAATGTACATGTAACTGGCTTGGCTCTTGACATCAGCTGTTCTTGAAAAACAACACCGTAACAACCCTGCTTACATCTGCTTCCTCTCCCCATCTTTGATGCCAACTGTGAATTCAGGACCTCAAGTAGGCTCCTGCAGTATCTGCTACCCAAGCCCACCAGCACTGGTCACTCCTGTCTGCAACCCTGCACCCTACTACTGCCCTGTGACTCTCCATTCTGCTAACAGTAGGCCTGGGGAAGAAGGGTCTCCAGAGGAAAAATCCCAATAAAGGCTCTGGACTAAACCTTCCCCTCCATTTTGCCCTCTGCCTCCTGCCCACCCTGGTACTTCCCCGTGTAGCCCTGCATGCCATGCCTCCTGTCTCCAGGACTTGAGAGCATAATAAACTTTGTTTTTTTCTTGAGTTTCTCCTATGTCTCCTCTTATAGCCACACCTGACTGATCACATCATCAAAAAAATACTTAACAAGGTCCTGGAAGACTTGCTCAGTCAGCTGGAGCACTGTCCCATGCACCAAAAGGTCATGGGTTCGATCCCCAGTCGGTTGGGACATGTACTGGAGGCAACTGATAGATATTTCTCTCTCATTTCAATGTCTCCCCACAACACCAAAAAAAAACCCAATAAACATATCTTTGGTGAGGATTAAATACAACAAAAAACTTAACAAGCCCAAAGCTAACTGTCAAGGAAAAGCTGACTTGCCCATGGGAACAGGAATAAGGTGAAGATAGTAGAGCAGAACCAGAGAATGCAATGGAAGTTATCAAGTAGTGACCATAATCACATTGACTGGAGGGAGTGTTACCTACTGCACATGATGGAAACTGGGAAAATATACTTACGTGTGAAAAATGCAAGAGAATCAACTAGAAAAGTACCAGTCTCTTATAAGGGCCTTGTAAGATAGTTAGAAGATATGCATATGGTAACCAACAGCCGACTTCTGCAAAGGTGGTGTCAACAAAGTGGTGGCAAGAGACTTTTCAAAAGGGTCATTGTAAATACAAACTACCAGAAATGTCCTCAAACAATGAGATCACACATTAATAGTCTTTACTGAGAAAGAGCAGACTTTGTTATAGGGATAAAAAGATGGTTCAACTTTCACCAAAGCACCTGGATTGGTCTGAAAACATTAATACACAATAACAGCACTATAGGCCTTTACCAAACAGAAGATGAGTTGAGAAAAGCAATTTGAAGAAAGACTATCTAGGAGGACAGTGGTCCCAAGCTTTGGTATAAAGTAGTCCCCTGAAAATAGCAGTTTTGCTTCCTGCAGTTTCAGTTACCTGTGATCAACCACAGTGCAAAAAATGTTAGATGGAAAATTCCAGAAATAAACAATTTGTAAGTTTTAAATTGTACGCCATTCTGAGCAGCGTGATGAAATCTTGCACTGTCCTGCCTGGGACATGAATCAGTCCTTGGTCTAGCATATCCATACTATACGTACTACCCACCCGTTAGTCACTTAGTCGCTTAGTCTCAGATCAGCGATGGCAGTACTGTATTGTTTGTTCTCAAGCAGTCCTTATTTTACTCAATGGCCCCAAAGCATAAGAGTAGTTTAAAATTGTCATCCGTATGCATTATATAGGAAAAAAACAGAGTGTACACAGTGTTTGGTACTATGGTTTCTGTGGTTTCAGGTATCTACTATAGGGGAGGGAGTTCTGGAATGTATCCCTCATAGATAAAGGAGGACTACTATATATAAGAATTACTCAGACATGTAATGCATGAACTGTAGATCCTGATATAAATAAAATTACCAAAATTGCTTAGACAATGAAGAAAACTCAAATATAGACTGAACAGAATATGCAAACAAGAAATAATCATTAATATTATTAGATGAGAGGATGGTCGGGTGGTTTAGTTAAAAATAAAACTATCAGAGATGCTAACTGGGGTATTTACAGGTAAAATACATGTCTATGAGTTGCTTTAAAATACTTCAGGAGAAAAAAGCTTCTTAACCATTTTCTTGATTACCTACTTTTTCTTTTAAAAATAAATTAAGAAACTGCCCCAGAAAGAAGAAATATACTTAAAAGACTATGGTGGTAAATGTGCATATTTCTTTCCCTGACATGTTGCAATTATAACTGTCTTGGCGCTATCAGAAGACATTTCAGAGGGGAGAATGACATTATAAGAGCCAAGTCAACACTGTTATGAGCTGCATCCCATGGACCGACAGGTAATTCACTTCTATGAGATGCAGCTTTGGAATGTACACGGCACTTATGTATCATATTTCTAGGTAAACAGTATCATCATATCTGCTTCTTAAAACCATATTTAAATAACTTTTTGAAATGTGGTAAAATATATGTAACATACAATCTACTATTTTAACTGTTTTTAAGTGCATAATTCAGTGGCATCAATTGTGTTCATAATGTTGTACAATCATTACCATTATCCATTTCCAAAACTTTTTCATTCCCAAACTGAAAATTTGTCCTCCTTAAACAATAATTCTCTATTCACCCTCCCCTCAACCCCTGCTAGCCTCTACTCTACTACTGTCTATTAATTTGCATCTTCTAGAAATTTCATCTAATGGAATCATACAATATGTTTCCTTTTGTGACTGGCTTATTTCGCTTAGCATTATGTTTTCAACTTTACCCGTGTTGTAGCAGGTGTCAGAATGTCCTTCCCTTTCAAGGCTGAATAATATTCCATTGTGTGCATAAATCACATTTTGTTTATCCAATCAGATACACATTTGGGGTGTTTCCACCTTTTGGCTATTATAAATAATACTGCTATGAACACTGGTATACAAGTGTCTGAGTCTCTATTTTTAATTATTTTGGATAAACAAGAGTGGAATTACTTAGTCCCATGGCAATTCTATATTTACCATTCTGAAGAACCACCAGACTGTTTTCCAAAGTAGATGCATCATTTTACATTTCTACCAGTAGTGTATAAGAGTTCCAATTTCCCAATGCCTTGCCACCACCGGTCATTTTCGTGCATTTGCTTATAGCTAGCTACCAAAGTATGAAGAACTACCTCATTGAAGTTCTGACTTGTATTTCTCAAATGGTTAATGATAATCTTTTCATTATTCAGTAATGGTGCTACTGGCCATTTGTATTTCTTCTTGAGGAAAAATGTCTTTTCCAGTGTTTTTGCCCACTTTTTGAGTTATAGTTTTTATATTTTGTTGTTGAGTTACAGTTCTTATACCTATTCTTATGTTCTATTAGATATAGATATTAAACCCTTAGCAGATACAACTTTCTAATATTTTCTCCCATTCTGTAACTTGTCTTTTCATGTTCTTGAGAATGTCCTTTGGTACACAAATGTCTTTAATTTTGGTGCCCTATCTAAAAATTCATTGTCTAATTCAAGTTCATAAAAATTTACCTCTGCCTTCTTCTAAGAGTTTTATGGTTTTAGCGCTTATAATTAGGTCATTGATTCATTCTGAGTTCATTTTTGTTTATGGGGTAAGGCAGGCGTGCAACTTTATTCTTTAGCATTTGCAAGTCCAGTGGTCCTAGAACCAATTTTTAAGAGACTGTTCTTTATTCTTTTAATGAACTCAGCACCCTTGTCAAAAATCCAGTGGCCATACATATGTGAGTTTATTTCTAGACTATCATTTCTATTCCACTGGTCTGTGTCTGTCCTTATTCCAGTACCATACTGTTTTGATTATAAATAACTTTGGATTACAAAAGAAAAATCACCAAAGAGTGTACCTGAAAAAGATTTACAATCATTTAAGATTAAAAACCTCTTTTACCTGAAAACACCACTGCTTTGGAGGCCTGCTTTGGACTCTGGGAGTGCTGCTTCTTTTCCAGTGCTGTCAGCATCCCCCCCAAGTCCAACTGCACTGGAATTTGGCTCTTCTTTCCACCACTTTTAAAATTATTCTAAAAAGTTCAAAAATCAAAAGTTTATAATATTTTACAAACTGTGCTTTTGTTTTATGACAAACAAGTCATATAATTAAAGATAAAATAGATTTAGAGACTATAAAAATCTTAAAAATTAATGTAATTAAAGAGAAAAACCCAATCAATTGTACATTATCTGCCAATATTTCTACCGTGGTTATTGATTTCCTCCCTCTTCTTTCACAACACTGGGTTTACATTAAACCACCTACAATTATGTATACATCTCCACTAGGAGTAGTAGTGCATATCTACAGACAAGAAACCAACAACTGTATAAAGTCTTTGGCTACAAAAGTTCGTCATATGTGAGGCTAATTGGTCAGTATTATTGCCTCTTTAGCCCTATTCATACTCTAATTGTCCAAGTGAGCCAAACAAATGCCACGAAATCATGGAGAGACAGCCAAAAATTAACACAAGTCCAAATCACATCCAGCAGTTGAGGGCTAAATTTAGACACAAAGTTTGATATACTCTAAACAAACAGTACTTCTGACATAGTTGTGAGACAGTATAAAAGGCTGTACAGGCAGGTTGCCTCATTGCTTTAGCACTTTTTCTCCTGTCTACTGTTTTTCTCCCTGACACCAAAACCCACTGGCTGAGGACTGCAGCACAGGTGGGCTACAATGTCCAAATTATAACATAGTAGCGCAAAGTTAATTCACACAAGGGTTTAGCATTTTACTTTTCACAAGTGTGAAAATAATCACATTACTCTGATAGGAAAAACTTACAATGAACATTCCGAAAAGTATACAAGTTCCCCATTTAGATAATAACCATAAATTCATTCCTGAATCCACAGCAGGGCTGAGGTACAAGGACAATCTTCTCTTCAGGTTGTTCTGACTACTTAAGAGTGAAATTTAGGTGGCTCTGTTATTTCCCTCTGTCAGACATTACTGCCTCACAAAGGAATTCTTGTTTCCTCAATAAACTGAATTGTTATTTTTTCCTTTGAATCAAAGCTTCATAGGCAATATGTATTCCACTCCTTTCTAATAATAGCAGTGCTTGGTATCAACAGTCTTATTACACAAGTGATGAAGTGTTTTAGTTTAAAAGCAATTCTGCTTCAACATACTGAATGCCCTCCTGCAGTGAAGGAATAAATCAAAACAAAACCACAGTTTTCCACACACAAAGAAGTGTGGAAAGCAGTCTTTCCTCAAGAGTTCAGTTTAGCAGGAAAAGTTAAGCCTAAAGCAATTGTGGTTTCACTCTAAAATTTACCTGTGGCTGCTGTTTAGATTGAAATTTCGGTGCCTCTACTCTGTCTCTTCTTTCAGATGCAACTGCCAGATTGGGAAACTCCTCAGCATCCTAAGTAAACCACACACCCTTTAGCACTTCATAAATCATGAGACTCAAATATGCCCAAGTTAAGCCTTCTCCTTGTTCATATTTTCTACGATAAGCTCCCACAGAAGTATTCCAAGGAGATACAAAACAGACCCAAAAATTATAACCTAAGGGCTTCAGCTTAATTTTACTATTAGAACCAATTTAAAGACCACAGTTCCAATCTCCCTCTCCAGAAAGCAAGAGCAGGGGCCCCAAGGGGTAAACAGAGCTGCCCCTAATGACCACGGCATGAGAATGTTCAAGCACCCTTCCTTCTATTAGGCTTTGCATCAGGAAACCCACCCATCCAGACCCAGAGGATGTAAGTGTCCTGTCATGTGTGCTGATCCCAGGCTAAAAAATAGAAAGAGGGATAAAGGGTCTCTAAACAATGTTTATATCATTTTAAAATGTCTTATATGCTTCTGTCAAAATTTTAGGTGCCTTGGAGAAGTTATGTGAGAAATAGAGACAAAAATATGAACTCTTTACTGGCCCAAACCATAATGCTCTGCCATGGTCATAGGTCTGCAAACACAGCTCCACTAATCTCAAGGAAATGTTCCAAACTCACAGGTTTGTGAGAAAGCCTTGGCTTAGGCAAGCCAGGCATCTGGGCAACACCACTGACCCTTCTGTGGTCACCAGAAGCCAGGCTGCTGAGACTAGTACTGTAGACCTGTGAAAACCATGGTCAGAGCCAAGGACAGGGCCATTCTTGGAGTAGCCATGACAATTTAAAGAGCACTCTTGTATATCCATGTCATTCTTGTGACCAGGGCCCACAACGGCTCTCTGGTATTCTAAATTTCTCTTTCCAGTGAAGCACATTATAGTAAGATTTCTGGATAGAAAAGGAAGCCCTGCAAAAGCCAGCATGCCAAAGCAAAGATTAAAAAAAAAATAGGTAAAGAAGAGACTTAGGGGTAAATAGTAAGACTATGGTACACTATTCGATTTTAATATATGTAGCTTTGTCTCTAGATCAGAGGTATCAAACTCATTTTCACTGGGGGCCACATCAGCCTCCAGGTTGCCTTCAAAGGGCCAAATGTAATTTTCAACTCCTTAACAGTTAAGGAGTAGTTAAATTTATACGGTCCTAAAATTACTTTGGCCCTTTGAAGGCAACCGTGAGGCTGATGTGGCCCTTGGTGAAAATGAGTCTGACACCCCTGGTCTAGATCAAATTCATTCATTCACTCCAAAATTTGTTGAGTGCCTGCTATGAGATAGGTACTGTGTCGGGACCTAAAAATGAAGATGTGAGGACAACAGATAATGGCTATTTTCTGTAGCACTAGGAGAATGATGATTAAAGAAAATGTTGAAGATCTTCTCTTAGAAAATCAGTATGAACACACATTTCTATTAAGACAGAACCATATATTATACCACACAAGGGAAGAAATAAATATATACTTCAATCCTTGGTGGCTCTTGAACTGTCAGGACTTCATATTTTGATTTAGACTTTTCTTTCTTTTTCTTATTCTTTCTTGAGGCTTCATTTTGCTCAGGATCACCACCTTGTGTTGCTTTGGACTAGAACAAAACAAAACCATGGGTTTTTGGGACATTCAACAGAATGTTTAATTCCATGTATGAGAACAAAATCAAGATATCAAGTTGTTGCCCTGGCAGGTGTGGCTCAGTGAATTGAGTGCCGGCCTGCAAACCAGGGAGTCTCTGGTTCAATTCCCAGTCAGGACACATGCCTCTGTTGTGGGTCAGGTCCCTAGTGGGGGGACACAATGTGTGGGAGACCACCACACATTAATGTTTCTCTCCTTCTCTCCTCTCCCTCCCTTCCCCTCTCTCTAAAAATAAACAAATACAATTTTTAAAAAGATATCAAGTTGTATAACTATATGGAGATTTTAGTAAGACTTTGCCTCCTTATTCTCTATTTTCCAAAGAGCCAGCATTCAGGAGAATAATTGTGAAGAAAAAAAAAATCGATGAAAACAGTTGTTGCATTCATTATTTTGAAACTGGTAGATGCAGACATAAGCCGGTTTTCACCCTAAGGAGGCCATGTTAATAATTCTACTAATTCTGACCTTTTATTAATCCAGGCGTGCCATTTCAATTGCCAGGACCCAGGGGTTCCTAAAACTGACTGCACATAAGAACCACCTGTACAGCCTTAAAATTAGAATGTCTGGGCCTAACCTAGACATCTTGAATCTGACTTCACCCCTTCCACCCTTCCCACAGCCCCTGACCTTTCCTTAATCAGGTCCAACACAATGGCCTCAGGGCTTTCACACACTCACACTTGGATCAAGGCTAGAACTACACCCTCATTTCAGCTCCAGAGTCATCCCATCCCTATTTGGCCTCTCCCTCTACATTCTCCTTGGAGCACTAATTGCTTCCTGACAGCTTCTGCACCTCTCTGCACAGTGCTAGTCCTTCTGCATCAGAATGGGGCCTGAAGAGGATGCCTTTTTATGTTTGGGGCCCTGCTTTATTCCCCATGGTAACTTATCTTCCCAGCTAAAAGCCTCAGTGGCCATTAAAACAAGTGTTTATCTATTGACCAGGAGAAGCTGTCCACAGTATTTTGTTAAGTGGTAAGGCAACTTTTAATGTATATACAATGACCACAATTTTGTTAAGGGAAAAAAAAAACCTCTTTGTTTATGTTTTCAGAAACCTGAGGTAGCATACATACCAGGTTGTTAATACAGGCTTCCCTGTGGGCACCAAAGGGCTGTGGAAAAGATGACCTTTTCCATAATTAGATCCTTGTAGCACAATACTTATTCTTTTGGTAATAAAAATTTACAACACCGAAAGTTTCAAAGGGGAAAGTCATTAAGACCCGTATCATCCCTGCTACGTAAAATATAAAGCAATCTAGGTTCGAAGATTAGAGGAGATCTCCATTTTATCACCTTTTTAAAATGATTCTTAGGAAATAAAAAATCTGTTAATTCAGTGTTAACTGCCTATAAGGAAAACCACTTTGGAGAGTGACTTGATTGCTGCAGCCAGAGAGCCCTTTGCCGCTGATACTGAGAGGATGGTGGGGTCTCAGGGCCCATGGCCTCTGGATGTACTCAGCTGGGGTCTTACTTGCACCTCCTATGTCCTCAAACAAATGCACAAAGCTGTGCAGAACAGCATACAGGGCTGTCTTGCTATAACCATCACCTGTACACATTTTCTTAATCAACCAAGCATAAATGTGCAGCTCCTATCTGTGCAGGATGTGACACTCGGGATACACTAGGGATATCAAAAAGTACCCTCATACCTCAAAAGACTAGAAACCATTGTACTAAAGAAATACAACTGTATTTCAACCTACAAAGAATATAAGGTCGGTCCAGAAACAGTACAGCTGTTGTTAATGTAATGAGATCAGTTTATATGACATCCATATAACCTGGCAGCCATGGAGAGTGGACTGGAATGCCCATAAGTGAACAATGATGACTCCTCTGTACTAGTCAGTGGGGGTCATAGATACCATTGAGTTAAGTGTGTGTACTGTGTGGCCGCTGCCTTCAAAATGACTGAGTAGAGCAACGAATCTGCATCAAATTCTGTATCACACTTGACCATTCCTATGCAAAAACTATCCAGATGATTCAGAAAGCCTTCTATGGGCAATAATTGGTGATTGGTGGCTTTATCATGACAATGTACCCGCTCATGCATCACATTTTGTGCAGATCTTTTTGGCAAAACACCAAATCACTCAGGTGACTCAGCCACCATACAGCCCAGATTTGGCACCCTGTAATTTCTGGCTTTTCCCAAAACTAAAATCACCTTTGAAAGAGAAGAGATTTCAGAACATCATTGAGATTCAGGAAAATACAATGGGGCAGCTGATGGTGACTGGGAGAACTGTGTAAGGTCTCAAGGTACCTACTTTGAAGGAGACTAAAGCTTCATTGTCCTATATAAAATGTTTCTTATATCTTGTATCTCTTTCAATAAATGTCTCTATTTTTCATATTACATGGCTGGTTACCTTCTGGACAGACCCCATTATCAGAACACTGAAAATCAAGAACAAAATCTAGACCAATGAAAAAGGCTCTTCAAGATACAAGTCTAGGGATCAATAAAAATGACAGTTTAAAATGATAGCTTAAAATGATTTGACCTGAAAGGAAAAAATAAATTCTGAATTTCTATCTTATAGTATGTAAGCTGCAATCAACCAAGAATTGGTAGCATAATCAAATGAATGCAAAAATTTGGGACTGAATTATTGTGCAATTAGTGCCCTAGTCAGTAAAAGTAATTTAAATTCAGTAGACAAAAGACTGGGAGAAAGAATGGAGCACTAGAGCATACACTTCTGCCAGCGGCTCTCCTTTAAAAAATTCAAAATGGTCTACAGATACGTTAAGACCACTGGTCTAAAACATATATCCTCACTCATATATGAAGCTACTACTTATATCCCTTGACTGAGGTCCTGTTCTTTCTTCCAGGTCCAAGCACAACCAACTCAGATGACTGACCACAGTATAGAATGAAACATTTTCAGTCAGGATTTGAGTAAAAGGAAAAAAGACCACCCAGCAGTACAGGGGACCCACATTATTCAAATGTGACACATACCTTCTTAGTTGAATGGCCAGTGTATTTCTCTCTGTTGTAGGAAGAATCCAAAGATAAAACTTGTGAAGATGAAATGCTACCATTTTTAGGATCTGCTGATGAAACAACTGTCTTTAGGTTTATCACAGAAGTAACATTTCTAGGGGCTGGTGACGGTTCTGTTGATAACGTCTGACGGACAACATAACCCATTGGCGTCCAGGATAACTCTGCTCAGAGATAACCACAATTGGGGAATAGTCTCAGCAGTAAACAGAAACTCCTTAGAAATTCCAAACATGCATCATGTGAGATAATTTACTTAGAGCATAATTAAATTTAGGCTGTTGTTCAAAACATCCTCTTGGAAACTACAATATTCACCAAACTTGTGTTTTCCTTGGATCATGCATGCTGAATTAAATTGTTAGGTTAACTGATCTTCCTAGAAACAGGTTTTCACTTAGGGGTGGTTCAGTTAAAAAACAGCAATCTTCAATTATGTCCACATGGCAAACACACAGAATTAATGAGCTAAAGATCAAATGTTCGCCCTACTAACCTTGATGTGTATCTTTAACAGAAGTCAAACGTCACTAGACTTCAGCTATCACAATAATTGGAAATTTATTTCTTTTTAGGACACAGGCACAATCACAGTCACACTACTCCTTAGGTGCCCATGAAACTCTATATACAGACAAAACAAAAGGACAGCTATCAGGACATGGACGGGTCATGTTTAGCAGCCTATGGCTACCTCAGACCATCAGACAGATTGGTCTTGTCACCACAGAGCTACACATCTTTAAAGCAGTCTCTAAAGTGAAGGTCTTTGTACCAAACATGAGAATGCAAGAGAAAACACACCTGTGGATAAATCAGGAATACCTTTGTAAAAATGTCTCCTGTTAGGACAAGCTACTTATAAAAATTTCAAAAGCAGACTCCACTGAACACTCTCCGAATATATTACTTTTAGGCCAGGCCAGGCCAGACCAGCAGTTCTCAAAGTGTAGCCTGAAGTCAAAGTGTAGCTTGAAGTCAAAACTGTTTTTCTAACAGTATAAATGTGTTATCAGTGCTCCCTGCCCCTACATCCCTACTCCCCTTTCTTTTCTCTCTCTTTTTCAGAGACTACAAAGGTAGGACAGTGAAATAGCTAAATACCAAGGCAGATCTACTGGGCCAACTGTTAAAGAGTTGCAAAAATATAAAAAAAGGCTGCGCTCCTTACTGTCTTAATTTTGGAAAATAGTTATTGTTTATAAAAGTGCTATTTAACATGCAATGGGCTTATTATTGTTATTTTATGTGAATTAGTAAGTATTTTTTAAATTTCTGTTAAGCTTCAGATATTACAAATACTGACAGACGTCTAATAAACAGAAGCTCGGTGGGGCTGTTTAAGGGGTATTAAGGGGTCCTGAGACCAAAAACTTTGAGAACCTCTAGTACAGATAATACTTAATGAAGATGTCATTTTTGAGTTGATAAACTTTTTCAATGAACCAGACAAACATTTCATTTAGAATTCTTTGCTATCTTACACTCCTTACACATACATGTGGGATCTCATTTACTTTAATCTTTTAACAACAATGTCAGTTTATCAACACTTCAACTGCCTTGAAGAAGGCTTTAAGACAAAAATATTTCAGTTGCACTGGACTAAAAATGGAACTTAAAAAACAGACAACTGATTTTTAAAAATAATAAATGGTAGCCACTCTTACCTCTTGTACACGAAGAGGGATTGGTATCAGCATTATCAGTTACAGAGTCAGTCAAATTATTATTTTTCACCACCATTTCACCCTAAAAAGCAAACCAGTTATTTTCTTACTATTTCAAATTAAAAGTAATCATTTAATTTTTAAATATAGCTTCCCTTGTCATTCTTAAAATCTTCAAAATATATGCTAATTAACAATTCCAAATACGGATATAAGGGGGATAAATGGTAACGGAAAATAATATAATAAAAAATAAACTATTATGTCCTGGCTGGTGTGGCTCAGTGGACTGAGTGCCAGCCCGTGAAACAAAGTATCACTGGTTCAATTCTGTCAGGGGACATGCCTGGGTTGTGGGCCAGGTCCCCAATAGGGGGCGTGGGAGAGGCAACCACACATTGATGTTTCTTTCCCTCCTTTTCTCCCTCCCTTCCCCTCTCTCTAAAAATAAATAAATAAAATCTTTAAAAAAAAAACTATTAAAAAATTATCCCTCCAAAAAATATTTAAAGTTGATGCATTTGCATGAGAAAAGAAATTCCAAAGACCTAAGTACATACGTGAAAAGTTCAATTACTTCCTCCTGCTAAATCTCTCTCCTTAGAAGAAAACCATCCACTCTCTACAGCTTAGCTACTAGCATCTCTCTACTTCTTTGCCTACGATTTATATACCTATGTATCACTTTTATTTATTTATTTTTAAAGATTTTATTTATTTTTAGAGAGAGGGGGAGGGAAGGAGAAAGAGGAAAAGAAACATCAACGTGTGGTTGCCACTCATGTGTCCCCCACTGAAGATCTGGCCTGCAACCCAGGCATGTGCCCTGACTGGGAATTGAACTGGCAACCCTTTGGTTCACAGCCCGTGCTCAATTCACTGAGCTACACCAGTCAGGGTCCCTATGTATCACTTTTACATAGATCCTAATAATGGGATCAAAATGAAAGTAATCATATAATTTTAAAATACAGCTTCTTTGCCATTTTTTAAAGATTTTTAAAATTTATTTTTAGAGCGAGGGGGAGGGAAGAGAGGGAAAGAAACATTGATCTGCAAGAGAAACACCAGTTGGGTTGCCTCTTGCATGCCCCCAACTTGGGACTTGGCTGGCAATGTAGGCATGTACCCTGACCGGGAATCCAACCAGTGACCTTCCACTGAACCACCCGTTAGAGCCCTTGCCAGTCTTAAAGTCTTCAAAATATATGCTAATTAAAAATTCCAAATACCTAAGTACATAATGTAAAAAAGTTAAAGTACTTCGTTTGGTCTGCCAATTCTCTCCCTCTCTAAAAGAAAATCCACCCATTGTCTACAGCTTAGCCAGCATCTCTCTACTTCTCTGCCTAGGAGATAAATACCCATCTATCACTTTTATATAGATCCCAATACTGGCAACTCAATCAACTTTTGAAAGATCAACATATTACAGACAACTTTCACAGCAGCACAGATATGCCAATACCATTCTTAAAACTCCCATGTCCCACAGGAATGCTAAAACATCATTTACCAAGTCCACACACCAAAGTTGCGAAGTCCACAAAGATAACAAACAGAAGAACTGTAATAGGTGCCTGCTTTTATAAAGACAGAAAGCTTCCATATGCATGGAACGAGAAACCCTAAAGACGCTGGGGTGGCAGGCAAGTACATTAAGAGACATCTCAAAGTGACCGGCAGAACTGAAGGTAAAAGGAAACTGATAAATTCAAATTTGAACAGTATAACTTCACAAATTTACCCATTTTGCCATTTTTTATATCTGAATCCAGTAATAAAAATAAAATCATTAAAACACAGCCTGTTCTCTTAGTGTATGTGTATAAATAAATAAATAAAACTTTTATGCTCATCAAGGCCAATGACACACTAGAAGTGGCTTACCTGTTCAAAAATGGTTGAGTCAACTATATCACTATCAAAAATCCAGTGCAAAAGTTGTTTTCAAAGAGTATTTAAAGACATGGAAAAATGCCAAAAACTTCGAAAACTTCTAGGAGAGGCCCATACATATGTATAATCCCCCACATGTACAATTTCCACAATGTACCATTAACAAAAGATTAAGTTATATTACATTAAATTTGGTCTTCTCTTGGCTATACAATTTCAATTTTCTTTTTTCTTTGGCTATTCAAAGATGTTACTAGTATAATCAGGAAAAAAGTTTTTCTTAAAGGGATATTTTTAAAAATATATTTTATTGATTATGCTATTACAGTTGTCCCATTTTCCCCCCCTTCACTCCCCTCCACCCTGTACACCCTCTCCCACACATATCCCTCCCTTTAGTCAAGTCCATGTGTCATACTTATAAGTTCTTTAGCTTCTACATTTCCCATACTATTCTTACCCTCCCCCATCTATTTTCAACCTACAATCTATGCTACTTATTCTCTGTACCTTTTCCCCCTCACTCCTTCTCCCACTCCCCTGTTGCTAACCCTCCATGTGATCTCCATTTCTGTGGTTCTGTTCCTGTTCTAGTTGTTTGCTTAGTTTTTGTTTTTGTTTTTGGTGTGGTTGTTAATAATTGTGAGTTTGCTGTCCTTTTACTATACATGTTTTTTCTTTATCTTCTTTTCTTAGATAAGTCCCTTTAACATTTCCTAAAATAAGGGCTTGGTGATGATGAACTCCTTCAACTTGACCTTATCTGAGAAGCACTTTATCTGCCCTTCCATTCTAAATGAAAGCTTTGCTGGATAGAGTAATCTGGGATATAGGTCCTTGTCTTTCATGACTTGGAATACTTCTTTCCAGCCCCTTCTTGCCTACAAGGTCTCTTTTGAGAAATTAGCTGACAGTCTGATGGGAACTCCTTTGTAGGTGACTGTCCTCTTATCTATTGCTGCTTCTAGGATTCTCTCCTTCATTTTTACCTTGGCTAAAGTAATTCTGATGTGCCTTGGTGTGTTCCTTCTTGGGTCCCATTTCTTTGGGACCCTCTGAGCTTCCTGGATTTCCCGGAAGTCTATTTCCTTTGCCAGAATGGGGAAGTTCTCCTTTATTGTTTGTTCAAATACGTGTTCAATCTGTTGCTTTACCTCTTCTCCTTCTGGTACCCCTATAATTCAGATGTTGGAGTGTTTAAAGATGTCCTGGAGGTTCCTAAGCTTCTCCTCGTTTTCTTGAATTCTTATTTCTCCATTCTTTCCTGTTTGGTTGTTTTTTCCTTCCTTCTGGTCTACTCTATTGTTTTGAGTCCCAGTTTCCTTCCCATCACTATTGGTTCTCCATGCATCTTCCTTCATCTCTTTAATGGTAACCTGCATTTGTTCATCTAATTTGCACCCAAAATCAACCAATTCTGTGAGCTTCCTGATCACCAGTGTTTTGAACTGTGCATCTGATAGATTGGCTATCTCATGGTCGCTCAAAAGGATGAGTCCTGGGACATTGATCTGTTCTTCTGTTTGAGACATGTCTCTTTTTTTTTTTTGGTCTGGTCGCTCCTGTTACAGTGAGGGGCAGAGCCTTAGGTGTTCGTAGGGGCTGGGCACCCCAGTTGCTAGATTGTGATGTGGGGGCGGGGGCGGGAGGGAACAATGGCGGTAGCTCTGTTCTCCTGGGACCTCAGTCCCTTCTCTGGGATCCTGGGATCCTGGGATCCAGTGCTCTCTGCGCTGGTCCACAATCGCTGCTTCACTGGGTCCGCCAACTGCCGCTTGCGAACTCAGGGTCCACCCGCTGCGATCCTGCGTGCCCCAGATGCCTTACATGCTCCCGGTTGCCTTTTGCGCCCAGTTCTCCCTGTTCTCTGTGCGCCGAGACCTGTGCCCGGCTGCTCCTCTCCGCCCCTACCGGTCTGGATGAACAGGTCTACTTCAACTTCTTGGCTGTCCGGCTTCCATTCAGATAAATTCTCTGTCAGTTCTGGGTGTTATTCTGCCTCTAAATTGTTGTTGTTCTAATCTTGGTTGTGCGTGGAGGTACGGTGCGACCACCTATGCCTCCATTTTGCCGGAAGTCCTTAAAGGGAAATTTTTTTTAAAGATTTTATTTATTTTTAGAGAGAGAGGGGAGGGAGAAAGAGAAAGAGAGAAACATCAATGTGCGGTTGCTGGGGGCCGTGGCCCGCAACCCAGGCATGCGCCCTGACTGGGAATCGAACCTGCAATGCCTTGGTTCGCAGGCCGCACTCAATCCACTGAGCTATGCCAGCCAGGGCAGAGGGAAATTTTTAAAAAATGCACACACAATTCAAGTGTGAGTATATAATAGAAATAACAAGTAAGTACATCTTCTCACATAGCATGATGTACCTTACTTCAAGTACACATACACAGTACTCACCTCTAACAGGTGACCATGACATAAAGTGTCAGTCATACTGCCATTCTGTTCTACTTTTGTACAGTGCTCATGGCCTTGGATTTATCCACTGGCTGCCTGTGACCAAATCATGGAGCCCCTCAACTGCTCAGCTCTTCTACATACTGCACTGGGCCCAGAAGGGTCACTCACCTGCCAAATGAAGACTGTGATTCTTCTACCCCCATCAGCCTTCCTCATCACAGCCATGCAACAAGAAAATGCTGTGGGGACAGTGTATGTTCTACACACTGTAAGCCATTATCACCCAGGCTTGGGGCTTTAGTGTCCAAGCACCCAAGAGAAGGGCAGGAAATGTCTTTTCAGGAGGTACAATCAGGTAAGCTGTTTTCTTCTTTCTCCTTGCCTTCACATTGAGAAGTACCTCACACCTCCTTTATCAGAAATCTGTCAGAAGTGATTTTAGGGACTAGTAACCTGATAACTTTTTTTCCTAGAAGTCTCAAATCAACCTGTTTGAGAGGGAAATGGCTTGATTTGGTGGACCAAAACTTTGAGATCAAGTGGTGAATATAGTATAATTTAAAATTACTAAGTGGCAGTCTGAATGCACTTTATTGCAATTACTTTCAGTGAATTTGCTGTATCATTAACAAGAGAGGTACAGATAAAAAGTCTGGAAAATCAGAAATTACACTATGGAGTTTTAAATACTACTATTTGAGTAAATAAAATCTTGTTGTCTATATGAAAAAGTGCTGTCGAACACAATGCTACGAGTGAGATATTCACAATGGGCTATCTAACCAGCTGGATTCATGCTAGAATCTTCTCCTGTACCTTTTAGCTAACAGATAAAATTAAGTGTATTAGGTGATTCTTTGAAAAGAGCAGCACTAGGTATCACAGCCTCACTATAAATAGTTCACACAACGAAAGAGAAAAAGGGAAACAAGGGAAAGGAGCCTGTACTCACCTCTGTACTCAACACTGGAGCGGGTTTCACCACTTCTCTCACAAGAGAAGTGTCCGTAGAGGCAGAGTGTGAAGGTCCCCACTTGGGCTGTTTTGGTGTCTCTAATATCTCATTGTTCTCTGCACCCTGCAGTTTAGGAAAATCCAACCTGGTAAATTCAAACTCAGGTTTGGAGGATGGTCCACATTTTTCAATGATTCTGGATTTCCTGTCTGTTCGTTTAAAATAACCATCTGTATTTACAGAATTAAAAGTAGGAGGAAATTGTTAATGTTTGATGGCCCTGTACTCATGCTTAGTTGCAGAATAGAAAATCTACTGCTAATGATGCAACATGTTATTGTCAAAGAAGCCTAACTTTTGCTAGTGCTATTAACCTTCTGTGTAACAATGTAAACATATATGCCCAGAAGTAGCAATTTCTCTGGTTGGGCCACCAAGCAAGAAAACCAAAATACTTTAAAAAAAATTTTTTAAGATTTTATTTATTTATTTTTAGAAAGAGGGAAAGGGAGGGAGAAAGAGAGAGAAACATCAATGTGCGAGAGAAACACAGTTGCCTCTTACATGCCCCCAACTTCTCCCAACTGGGGACTTGTTCTGAAATCCAGGAACGTGCTCTGACTGAGAATCAAACTGGCAACCTTTTGGTTTACAGGACAATGATCAACCCACTGAGCCTTGCAAGTCAGGGTGACACTCAGAAAATCTCAGGAGTAATTTTAATATTGATGTAATAGTTACCTAAACATGACTGTACAGCTGGGCAGTTTAATTATCCTTAATACACACTTTAGAGTTTTGCAAATTTAAAGAGACATCAACAAATTTCCTTTAAGTAAGAAACGTTCCCTATTTTAGTTTGCTAGAACAAACTGGAGGAAGCAAGTAGAACTGAACTTATAACCGATTTCCTATCTTTTTCCTTCAAATGCAAATGAATAACGATGTCAGTTACAATGCCATAAAGTCCCTATATTTAATCATAAGGCCAGAATTATTATTGTTAAATGCTCAACTTTCCTATCACCTTTTCATGTACCAATTCACGAGTCAATACAAAGAGAAAAATGTATATACCAAGTAACATAAATTATACCTATAAATAAACGATAGACCTTTCCCAGTAAGTACACCATTACAAAGGTTTTAAATCACTATATAAACAGGGGATGCCTATGATCAAATTGCACTTGTAAATAAATTACAGGAAAAAACAAAAACACCATGTAAAACCACTAACTTTCAGCCATAGACCAGAATGGTAGTTTCCAAGCCCAGAGTAAACATGACTTCTCTCAAGAATAAAGTCAGTATCCTCTGAGTAACTACTATACTGCCCCAGGTTTGGTATTAAGACAGAAGTGAAGTCATAGACAAGCTGTCCTACCTATTAAGAAGTGTTCCAACAGAATACTACAGAAACTGTGTCAGAAATAAACATGGCCAAATATAGTACAAAGGATATGGTTGTGATCTGCTTTTATTTAAAGATGTGTTTTGAGCTTTGTGGTTGTGACCTACTTGCTATGTGACCTTAGATAAGTTCTTGTGTAAAACAAGGTAAATAACATATTAAGGGCACATCACAGAGCCCACACAACAGGTCCCCATCCCAGAAGGAAAGGCCTCCTGGATCCCACAGGACATCTGATGGCCTCGCCTTTTCACAAAAATAAACCCACAGAAACAGCTGTCCAAAAACAGCAAAGGTTCTGTGATGGGTGGAGTAGGTTGACATAACACAAAGCATAGAGTTTGATATTTTTTACCTGATTTCAAATTAGTGTCAGCACAAATGGACATATGATGTGAGCCTTTTACTGATTTTGTATCAGATAATATAGTTCCATCAGCCTTCTTATTGTCAAACTTTTGTTCGTCACACATTTTTTTCTGCAGGAAAAGATGAAAAAGTAACACAAATTAGGAAAACTATAGTTGACCCTTGAATGAGGAAGCTCAGGGCACTCCCACCCCAGCAGTAGACAACCTGAATATAACTTCTGATCCTGTAACACTTAATAGCCTACTGTTGACTGGAAGCCTTACTGATAATATAAAGTCAATTAACACATAGTTCGTATGTGATGTATATATTATACTCTTACAATAAAGTGAGCCAGAGGAAAAAAAAAGTAAAGTAACAGGGTTTGTCTGCACAGTTTTTTAAACTGTTACAAATCTCCTAAAAGTTTTCCAATATATTTATTTTAAAAATATTCACATATAGCCCTGGCTGGTGTAGCTCAGTGGACTGAGTGCCAACCTGTGAATCAAAGGGTCACAGGTTTGATTCCCAGTCTAGGGCACATGCCTGGGTTGTGGGTCAGGTAGTAGGGGGTGTGTGAGAGGCAACCACACATTCATGTTTCTCTCCCTCTTTTTTCCACCCTTCCCCTCTCTCTCTAAAAATAAGATCTTTAAAAAAATTTTTTTTAAATCCACATAAGTGGATCCAGTGGCGCATTTCAATCTCATGTTGTTCAAGGGTCAACTGTACCACTATAAAATAGGTTTAAAATTGCAAATATGCAAGTACAGTCATACCTCGGTACTCTCTGCTTCAGAATTCATCAAACTCTTGACTTACCGAATTTTGATGAGAAAAAAATGTTCAGCACTTGGCTCTTGCTTAGGCCTTGTCACACTTGCTAGAACCTGTATGAGTCACGGCATCGCCCCACAAGAGAATATGCTTCATCATTCAGTACTCGTTGGTTTTGGAACTCATCACAAGTTCCAGAACAAATTAACAATGAGTACCGAGGTACCACTGTATTCACAACTCAACCGTTTTAAAAAAGGTTAGACCAAATCAATTCTTAAACACAAAAAAGATGAGTAATGCTTAAGTTAATGCAAGAACTGATCAGTTCTTTACATGTTAAATGCTAACATGACCAACAAAACCACAGCACTCCTGGCTGGTGTGGCTCAGTGGATTGAGTAACGGTCTCCAAACCAAACCACAGCACTTACTGACCTTAAACAGGGCTTTTGTGTCTTGTGGGAGAGTGGTCATGTGCTCATACCGCGGCTTCACCCTCTGAAAGCCTTGGTAATGACCGGGTTGATTGTAATCATACTGGGAGCTAGGCACTGGGCTAACATTCTGTGTAGACTCCGGGTTGTAAGGAGAATAGGTGTATGGATGAAGAGCCACCTCAGATGATAAATAGTGATGTGGAAACGTTGAAGCTCCAAAGGCCATATCTTCAGGATAGAGTTTCTGCCTAAATAGAAATAGTAAATTTTAGTTACAGATTTCATATCACAAGCCACGGAGCTTTAATATTTTACAATAAAAAAAAGTTAAAAGTTTGCCCTGGCTGGTGTGGCTCAGTGGATTGCATGCCGGCCTGCAAACCAAAGGGTCACCAGTTCAATTCCCAGTCAGGGCATAAGCCTGGCTTGTGGGCTAGGTCCCCAGTTGGGGGCATGAGAGATGTAACCACACATTGATGTTTCTCTTTCTTTCTCCTTCCACTTTAACTCTCTAAAAATAAATAAAAAGTTTTTAAAAAAGTTAAACTTGCATTACCTTTGAGGTCATTCATTCTGCATTGAAATAACTCTAATTAAAAGCCAAATAAAACCTCTGGGCCTTTCTTAACCTGCAAAGACAGATGCTGACCTAGTTATTTTTACTATTGGGCTGGAACATCTTTGAGAGGACCCTACTATAATGAGCATCAGGAAAGCCTATGGATACCTCAGCAGCTTTTCACTTTCAAGATGTCCAATATTTGGGAAAGCCTCTCAGCAACCTTGGCCAAAAGGGACATTGAGACTATTCTTTTTACAGAGGACCACACCACCCAAATCCAACCCCCCTCCTGACAACCTGCAAGGCCTGCCTCCTGGAGCCTCTGGGTGCCCAGAGACATCCTGCTGCAGCCCTTTCCCTGTTTCAAGCCCACCACATCCTGTGTTCTGCTGACTTGCAGGGTCAGAGCTACAAAAGGGATGCTTCAGGCATGGTGGTAAAGGAATTACACATCCTGCTGACCAGATGGACACTATCTGTGATTGCTCTAATTTGCTTAAGCCTGCTAGGTTAAACCAAAATACAATATAACAGTGATTTTTCAGCAAATTTGTATATGGCCAGAGGATTCAACCATTTTGCAATGAAAGCCGATACACTGACAAAATGCTAGAGTTGAGTTAAAACATAAATCACAACCTTTTCATCCCTACAACCCAGCACTAGATGTTTCTGTGAATTTCCACAGCTGAAAATTTTCTTGCAGCAAATCAGTGAAATCCCAGCATGCTAGTCCACTGAAAGGCAGGAAAATCCAAAGCTAATAAATGGGACATCCTATATGATCTTCCAACTGTCCAACCATCAGGAGATATGGGCCCAGGTACCAAAACTCTTATTAGAAGTCCTATTTCTACTCTGCTGCAAGTAAGAGCCCAAAGAGAAGGAGAAAGGGAGTCACTGTGACCAAACTGGACTTAGAAGACACCCTTAAGAATGGTCACTGTCCTCATTTTCATGCAGTACTTAATCACAGACTGTCTGGTATCAATGCCTATTAATTCATATTTTATAGGTTTAGATCTTGTAACATCTTTTACTTATCAACAATTTATTCTAGTAATGAAATTTTCCTAATTAAAATTCAAACAAAACCCCTTTATTAAACTTTTTCTGCTCCACAGACCATCTGGCTAGGGCTGCTCTTTGAAGAGAAGAGGGAGTTTCCAAGCTGCATCCCACTCCCCAAATGCTAACACTAGATGTGACTACCCATTTTATTTATTTGATGCTCAGAAAATCTAATGGGGCTCAGATGAAGGTGAGAGGAATCTGTTCTTTACAAGATAGGCAAAGAAGATGGGTTGATAGAAAAAAGCAAGAAAGACTGTCTCAAGTTCAAAAACTGGATAAATGAACAGACCAATACAATTTAGGTAAAGAAGAAAAAGAGGGCAGATCCAATGGTCGCTTTTTACATTTATTTTTACTAACTGATTGATTCTTTTGGGGGGGGGGGTAGGGGGGAAGGGAGGGACAGAGAAGGGGGTGAGAGAGAGCCAGAGAGAGAGGGAGGGAGAGGGAGAAAAACACACTGATTTATTGTTTCACCTCTTTATGTATTCTTTGATTGCTTCTTGTCTGTGTCCTGACCAGGGATTGAATCTGCAACCTTGACACAGTGGGACAATATTCTAACTAAATGAGTTATCTGGCCAGGGCCCCAGTGGTGGTTTGAAGACTGCTGTCATCCAGAAAATATTCACCCATGAGTTAGCAGAATTTGGCTTGGTCCTCGCTCTATCACAACCTAGTTTTCCACTTTGGAGTTATCACTGGTCCTCCTTCTTCTGAAAAGTTGGTATTTTTTTCTGTCCATCCAAGGTAAATACAATTATATGCAGAGAACAACTCTTCAAATGGCTTGTCTGTAAAATTCCAGTTGCCATAAACTGCCCAGAGGACCCTTAATCATAGTAACACTATCTCCTTTATGCCCACTGCCTTATCCTGCACTCGTTCCCCCTCAAAAGCAGCAGCTCATCTCTGGCAGCTCATCAAAAGGCTGAATGTAATTTCAACTCTTTAGTTAAGGAGTAGTTACATTTATACAGTCCTAAAATTATTTTTGGCCCTTTGAAGGCAACCACGAGGCTGATGTGGCCCCCGGTGAAAATGAGTCTGACACCCCTGCTCTAGGACTTCCTTCCTGTCACACTGTCACCTCTTCAGCACAACTGGACAGGTTTGGCTCCTATATCACACCACTAGAAAAGTTCCTCTGGCCTGGACTTGTAAGTCCTGTCCTCTTCTTGCTCTCGTCCACCTCCCAAAGCCTCCTCTTTGGCATGGTTTCCCTTGCACTCTATCTCACCTGTCACATTCATGGAGTCCAAGCCTCTCACTGTTCTGTTCAGGATACACACACACACACACACACACACACGCACACACACATCAATACTTGCAATCAAGTACCTTTATCACCTCCAGCCCTCTAATTCCAATTTATGTATCACTTCCACTTAATAGTTCACTTTCCCCCAACCTGGTACATGTAAATCTAAAATTTAACATCTGGTCCCCAAACTAGCCATACTTCCAACTTGTGTTCTCATAAATGATTCTACGATTCTAATAACTGAAAATTGCTATACACCTTTCCCACCAACACCCATATGGATAACCACAGAATCTTTTTTCTCTTACAGCAGGTCTCAATGTATTTTCTTTCCAGTGCCTGGAACCCATCAAAGCTTCAAGCCCCTCTCCCTTAAAGTCAAACCAGAATCCAGCGGTGAACCCCAAAGCTCCCTATTTCATACCCAGCAAACCTAAACTTTCAGCTGTACTATGTAGGCTTTTCATTGCCTAAAACACCCCCTTAAAAATGGGAACTTTCTCTTCTACTGTCTCCCAACCCATCTTTCACATGATGATCCCTTTGGTCAGGCCAGCAGCTGCCAGGGATTGAGCCACTCCTCCACCTACCAAATCAATCTAAGCTACACTGACAGCACTGCTAGTTCTCAAAGCTGAGAGGTTTTAACTTAAAAGCATCCGACTGTGCATTGTGACATTTCACAGTATATTCCAAGATGCTGAGAATGCTCAACAAACTCTCACCAACAGCAACAGCAGCTTTGGGAAATAAAACTGAACTCAGAGTCAAAGGACTAAATGCTAATTCTGATTCTGATGCTACCTATCTCAATAATTTTGGTCAAGCAATTTTAGCTTGTTTGTCATGTGTAGAAATAACATTACAGTCTACAGCCATACCACCCTGAATGCACCTGATCTCATCAGCTAAACAGGGGCAGGCCTGGTTAGTACTTAGATGGGAGAAATAACACTACATGTCCCTGTCAACCTCATGGATGTGGCAAGCATGAAAAGATGTAAACATATACAAGAATACCCAAACAAAATGCAACAATGAGAGAACATGTTTTGTCTGCATAGCCTCTAATTGTTCATAACACCAGTAAATAATCAGTACTTTCCAAATGGGTAATTCTATATACCAGAATACTTCTTCTAATATTTGTCTTGTCTATAACATAAATTTGGAGAAGACTAGTACATTTTCTTTCATCTCCATTAGTTCAAGTCTATAAAAGATTGACCGAAACAGAAGAGCTCAGGAGGTAAGTCTTTCCTGCTTAGCATCTAGCATTTTCCATACAATATTTAACCCCAACTGAATAAATGAAATCCCTTTGAGTGCACTGTTAGAGGCACTGAAGGTAGACAGATTCTGTAAAAGGTTCCTCCCCTTTTTTAAGTGGATGTACAGAATAAGGTTGTAATAGTGGAAGTAACAGGAAAGAGGAAATACGTTTGTTATAGAAAAGGCTACTCCTTTTCTTCATGCAAGAGATCTCCATTTAGATGAAATCTGACTAGAGCAATGCACTTCTTAACCTACATTAGAACTGACTAGATAATCCGTTCTCAACTAGGTAAAGTCTCCCCATTTCCTCCTCACTTGAAAGGCTCCTGTTCTTTCTAACCTTTTCTCTTTGATTTCATGTCCTCTGCCCCTAATTGTTTTCTTGCCAATCAGGAATAGTCAGCCAATCATTTCCTTTGTTATGAACAATTAAAAATCAAAATCAGCCCTGCCTGGTGTGGCTCAGTTGGTTGTAGGTTGTAGTATCATCCCATACACTGAAAAGTTGCCAGTTCAATTCCCAGGCAGGGAACATATCTAGGTTGTGGCCTTGATCCCTAGTTGGGGCACATAGGGGAGGCAAGCAATCAATGCTTCTAGCTCTCCCTTCCCCTCTCTCTAGAAATCAATGAACATGTCCTCCAATGAACATTTTTTAAAAAATCAAAATCAAAGCTAAAAAGGATAAGGGATTAAGAAACATTTTTGAATTTGGTATTGCATATCCTCAAGCCTTGAATCACAGTTCATGTTACTGCCAGGATGTTGCTTTAGCTATATGAATATGATCTACCTTTATTTTGAGTTTCCAGAATCCCACCCAGTAGATGGCTTAGAGACCTTATCACTAAGATGTATTTTGTATTTTATTATGTGCACCACCCAAGGTAGGGAACAACTCAGATGAAACCCATGCCAACATCCCTTTTACAAAAGATAAAATTACACTGGAAAATTTGGGTATTCCTACCAAAGATCTTTAGTACAGGTAAATCTTCAACTTTTGTCAAAAAATATAACTTTCAGTATTTCCTAAATATACCAGAGAACTCAATGATTTTCTTACTCATTCCAATTCTCAATCTTGTGGATATAATTCTAGAATATATAGGAAGTATAAATAGTTTTCAATTACACCTTGTAGGTGTGAGGAAAAAAAGAAAAAAGGGAAACAAATTTGACACATGTCAAAGAAATTGAAGAATTCTTACATAGCAAAAAGGCAATTCATACCTTAAACATAAATCACAAATAATCTTCACAATTATGTGAAAAGTTGAACTTATTTTTCTAAATTCAGCTAACAATGAAACCATTCTGTAAATACCTTAAGAATGTATTCTAAGGAAAAAAATGTAAAAAACATAAGCCCTCTTTCAATTCAAACTTAGAAGAATTTATAACCAAATTTTGGAGAAACCACCTCCATAAGACACATATAAAACAAAATGATTGAAAGCAAAACCAGGCAACTTGTGAAGAATTATCCACATAGAGGCAGCTATGGTTGCTAGCCCCCATTCCTTCAACAGTAAGATTTTAAAATGTCAACCCCTAAAACTGAAGAGCCTTCTTATTTATTTAGGTTTTTCCCTACCCCATTTCCTCCCCCCCTCCCCTGCCATTTCATCTGCCATCACATACATGACATAGTTTTAAACTGTATGCACAAATGAACCCTTAAACTGCACTCCCTACAAATAAATGCAATGTAGTCTACACACTTTCTTTACCCAAAATACCTGAGTACAGAGAAAGAAAATGAGAGTTGAAGCTTCCGTTTCTGCTGTAGCACACACTTAAGTTGTGCTACTGGTTCAGACTGTTCCTGGCTAAGGAGCATCTTCTCTAGTTGCTTTAAGAACTTTAATGTGTTAGCCAATGTTGTAAAGTCTAATCACCATTAAAGCCAAGAAACAAAGTCCTTAGGTAAGGCAAGACATTTATAAAAATACATACTCAGGCAATGGTAGTTTCTGAACACAAGGATAGTACGTGGCTGCACAGCTAGGGAACACGTGTGCTTCTGACGACTCTAACCATGCCACCCTGAGCCCAGCAAATTTGGGGATAAACGGTTTGACATCTGCTGACAACTTGATGCCCTGAGGAAAAAAGAGGTTATAGCTACATACATTATGAGATCAACCAAACGTCAACAAACAAAAAACCCAGAGTGGCTCCATTTTGGCAGTCCCCAGAAATGCTAATCCCAGCGCTGTTGTTCAGATATCTCTGCCTAGTAAAGACAAGCATTTGCCAACAATTTCTCCCCCAATGCTTTATTTAACTATAAAAATTGGCCCACCAAATATTTAAGTGAAAAATAAGAACAGCAATTACAATGCAAGTAAAATTCAACCGAGATACATAGTTAGGACCTCAACTGACGGTTACTTAGCTTTAGCTGGGAATAAGGGTATTTTATCCCTCTCAGCTGTACCTAGGGATAAGTCAGCACCGTAGCAGTGTGCGTAATCAAACGTTACCTGTAGCACAAAACACATTGCAAGAGTTTATTTCCATTGAATTTCTCGTAAGAGTTACACAATTTTCAGTCGGTGAACCACTAAGAGTTTTGCTAAAAAGATAAAGTTTTGCTAGAAAATCTATCGCCATAAACCCTTGGAATATTTAAGTTGCAAAGTGGATTTTGGTTCTTAGGTGTTGATTTACTTTCACTGACAACTCTTAAAGCACAGGTTTGACTCGTTTGAAACCCAATCTATGCAAATGCCTGGGCTCCCTCTAGTGGTTCCGCTGCGCAAGTCTAGCGGAGATTCTCGCTTCAAAATACACTTGAGCGACAGCTACTTTAACCACTCCTGGCCAGGAATGCGGGAAGCCAGTGCGGCGGCGCAGCCTTCCCGCGGGGAAATGGGCAGTGTCCCCTCGAGGGTGTCCATCCTCAACCCACTCAGCAGTGGGCGATGTAGATGCCGGGGTTGGGGAACCGGCCGCCCGTCCCGCGCCGCCCAATCCCGTCCGCACCCTTCGCTTTTCGAGATGCCCGGAGCCACGGTCCTCACCTCGCCCGATGGCTGCCGAGGCCCCTCTGACGCCATGGCCCGCAGATCGGAGGCGGCTGGGCCTAGGAGGCCAGAAGCCGCCCCGTCAGCCGGCTGAACGAGCGAAGTACTCCGCCTCACCACTATTCCGCCTTCCGAGCGGACGCCAGGAAGTGCGTCACAGAAACGCGCCCCGGCCCGCCCTGCTTCCGGTAGGGAGTGCTTGTGGCTGCGGCTGTGGCAGTTCAAGTTCTACCCATAAACTGAGGTGGTCGGCTCCCGTGTACCTTACTTTCTGCAAAGGCATTGGGCAGCCCTCGGGATGCGGGTGGACCACACCCAGATGAGTCCACACGGGGTAGCGAGACCTGGAGCGGGGCGGGAGTGTGGTAGGTTGGGGACTTAGTAGTGCATACCCGCAAGCCCTACAGACTGGGTGTCCTAACTTCAGGAACTTCAAGCACTTTGGAAGTAACCACAGAAAAGAATTTCAAAATTGCCCAGTTGTTTCCACCAATTAGCTGTTAACTATTAGGAAGAGTGCTGGGAAAGGGAGAGAGAAAAATAGTCTGATTTTCCAGTAATACCATCCAGAGGGGAGTTAAGGAGGGTGAGAAATGGATGCGAGCCCGGGGTCACACGGAGGTGAGGGAGGCTGTGGGGTGGAAACATGAGGAACTCCTGACTTGCACTGGAGCTGGAAGGTGTAGGAATTTAAGGTTGCTCCCAGGGTAGGTTATTTGACCCGTAGGATTTGATTAGATTCAAAATCCTAGGCTTGAGGTTAACTCTAGGAAACCTTGCACCGAGAGGGGTTGAGTAACTACCAAGTACAATATTTCAAGGAGGAAAAATGTAGGCAGCTTTCTTCAGGTTTCTGTGTGATTAATTAAACATGCCTACGCACAGCCAAACCTCCAGACCTTGGAGAGGTTCAGGGTCTGGGGGCAGTAATCAGTGCTGGAGGTTGTGGAGAGGGTCGTTGCCGCTAACCTCTCAGTATTCTTTGGTCTGCCTTAAATGCTATCATGTTTACTTAGCAATTCTGTCATCTTTCTGTTGATGACTTGCTAACTCTAGACCTCTAACTGATGGGTCCCAAAGGCCTAAGTTCTAGGTTGCTTCAGTCTTTATTGGCACCCCTTTCTAAAGGGACATACAGAGGACCACCCAACTGCAGTCTGTTTACCTTAAGCTTATTTTTAAAGGATTCTCTGGCAAACCAATGAAGATAGACTGCATTAGCTTTAAAATATTTCCCTAGCAGCTAAAAAAGCAACTTTACAGACTCAAAATTTTTATCTATGGCATGATGGAGTGTTTACAGTGCTTTCAAACTTTAAAAAATGCTAATTTATAGGAAACATCCCCACCTGGCAAAGGGAAAAAGGGTTAAGTGGTTTCTTCCAAGGCCAATAGATGTAGCAGTTCGTAGGTAAGTGGAAGCAGCCCAGAGAGTATTAAGTTGGGGTCTTTACACTCTTCAAATGGAGGCCCTAGACAATTAGCTTTAGTGAATTTATCCCTGGTTGGTTCTTGGTTTCTTCTCAAGTAAATTATATGATAACCTCATCACACCAAGCTGTTTTAAATCCCTTTAATTATTTCCTCAGGGTCAAAATCAAACTGAAATCATCCAAAAACTTGTAATCATGAATTAACTTTAAATAAACTTGAATAACTTCACACAGTGATAAACGCAACATACAAACTTTATTTAACAAAAGTAACGTAAAGTCAAACAGGCACTTACATTAAGAGTTTACTAGAAGAAATTTTAAACACCTTTTTTAAACACCTTACAGTAACCTACTTGCAGTTGCATTTAACTGAGCTCTGTTGCTGTGAAGAATACAGCTCATGCACAGGTATGGATGAATGATTTGTACATTTTTCAAGTATTCACTGAATACTACCTTATATACACATATACATTAAATTTGAAAAAGATTTCATTGACGATCCCAGATATACTTCATTTTTGTTGATCTTTTGGAAGAGGTCGTCTAAAGAGAAGAATATGTGGTTCTGTGGAAAGAAAATGTTTTGTATCATTTTAATATAATATGGTTAATTTTCACTCAAAATTCAAAGAATTCTCAGCTGAACCAAAATAAAATAAACCTATTGTCAACTAATGTTACTTATTAAGGTATCTGAAAACTTTGCTTAAAAGTCACTGTCATCAGGAAACAGAAGAAAGCAGCCTGACATTGAGAGTATTTCCCAAGTGTTTTAGTTTTACCCACCCTGGAGAAAAGGGATGGTAAGCACAAAAGCTACTTTGGGGAGAATGGTTTCTACTTTCAGAATCTCAATTCCAGCAAAAAAAAAAAAAAAAAAAAAAAGAGAGAGAGAGAATAGTTATCTCTGTGGGGTAAAGACACCCACACCTCATTAAAAAACCACCAGCTTATAATAATGCCAGTTCTAGGGATCTATCCCAGTAGATTATTTCATTGTAAGGAGGTGGCCTAGAAATCTACAGTTAAGTTCTCCTTAGTTGCTTTTGTATTATCTGGAGAAACACCTCTTGAACTCTAATGATTACATGCCTGAATCCTAACTGTGAGTCTTAAAAAGAGTTTTTGATATTGCTACTGCTGCTTTTTCTTAGCAAGAGTGGAAAACAAGATAGCTTTAGGCCCACCTAACACAACTTCTCCGGTATGCCTTCAAACTTTGTTCAAAGCATTTTACATTTTAAATCCTTGACTTTAGATTTACTGATATAACCAATAAGCAGAATTTATTAACCCCACAAGTCTTAGTTAACAGTTCAGTTAATCTGGAAAACTGGTAAATACCACTTACACGTTCATAATGTATAACAAAGGCAGCACATTTGAATTCGCTGGTCATTTTATCTATTTGATCTTACATATGGTTGATAACAATTACCCTTTAATAGAAGGCTAAAAGACAAATCACTTCAAATTGCATAAATTTCTATACATAAAACTTGAAAAAAAAACCAAAACCTATTTATTTACAAGACAGGGGAAGAGAGAAAGAGGAAAAAAAAAACATCGATGTGAGAGAAGCCTCTTGTATACATCCAGATCAGGACCAAAACCTGCAACCTAGGCATGTGCCCTGACCAGGAATTGAACTGGTGACTTTCCACAGGAGGACACCCAACCAACAGCTACAACTAGTCAGGGCCTCCCTACATAAAATTTAAGGATACTTAAGTTGTCTTAAATAAGTTCTTAGTTTCCAAAAAAAGGGATAACAGAATACTAAATATGTTTATGGTAAAATAAGATTACAATGACACAATATTAAAAAAAAAAAAAGAAAAAGAATAGCCTAATTTTTGACTCACTTTTTGCACAGGAGAAAAAGGCATTACTTTCACTTGTGTGGTATTTTATTTACTGTAAAATTGGAACCCTCTCCAGGGAGGAAAAGAATGGAGTCATTCAAAATTAGTCAAATCTATCAGTTACTTTAGGATATCATTGAATGTCAGCTTTACTAAAAAATTTTCAACCACCACAACAGCTACTATTCTAATTCAGTTAACATTTTCCCAAATAGGAAACTTACCTGGCTCATGGATCATGTAATGAACCCATCCAAGACTCTGTTGGACACCAAGTCTCCTCCACTCCTCTTCAGACATCAGATGGGTTTTGGGTACTTGTTTGGAAAGTTCTCTGGGTAACATGACATGCCTGTTGAAAGACACAGCCAAGCATTAGTGTTCTGTGTGTAAATATGCCTTCTTCTACCATTGTGATCATGACACATTTTTAGGATTCTTAAAAATTGAGGGTTTTTCGTCCTCAAAGTTCTTTAAAGCAACTGGCATATTGTGTCAATTGGCATCAATCTTGAGGACTACAATCTGCACTAACTTTGATTTGGATTTTTAATGGCCTATGTTCAAATTAGGAAGGATATGCAGACCGGAACCAGAAGGCATTCATTTTATTTAGCATTAACTTCTTTTCCCACCACAGGGCTTGCAAGTTGTCTGAATGTTCAAAACTAATTTGGACACACAATTAAGCAAAAAAATATCTAGACTTCCCTGCAACTATGTCTGGCCATGTGACTAAATTCTGGGCAATGGGATATAAGCAGAAAATAGGTAATTTATAGAAAGTGTCTGCAAAAGAAAAGAACACACCCAATTCTTTATCTCCTTCCTGTTGATTACAAAGATTAACCTGATTAGGAAGCTAGAGAAGCCATATATGTAAGACCACAGAAACTACTGTAAATCGAGGATGGTCCCTGATTGTGGAGCTGTCAATCCAGCCTCATGGAGCCTTTTACATAAAGCAGAAAAATATATCTCATTTGTTAACAGTTAATTTGGGTTTCCTATTATTCAACATTGTAGATTTGTACCATAATCAAATCCTTGTATACTCCAGAAGTTGCTTTATATTTTGTTCAGAATCAAAAGCAAAAAACACTAATCACATATACATATCTATCTTGCCACCTTCAGTTTTCCAGTAAGTTAATTGACCTATAATACCCCAAACTTGCTTTTTTTAGGAAGGCATGTAATATTCTTCAATGTGAAGAACACATGAAATTGAAGCTTTGTTAAATTCTTAAACACAAATCTGCACTGCCCCTTATTTAATTACAATACAAAGATCTCCATAAAAATCACAGTTCCCAGCATCATTTCCAGTTATGAGTATTAGTTTTACACAGTCATCCATAACCACCAACCAAATTTTATTTTACCAATATAGGACACCAATACCTGTGAATTGGTTGGCTGGGGGTAAGAAAGGCACAATCTGGTTACTTTCTGGCACACAGAAAAAGTAAACCCATAACCCATCATAAGACTAACGTGTCAACCTAGTCTGTGGCTGGTTAATTAAGTTCCAATTTCATATTATTTGCAGAACAAAAGTGAACCTTGGCACGACTGTATTATGTAGCTAGATTGCCATAAGGCCAAGTCAAATTATGCTTATTATCATCGTTGGTTAAAATTTCACCAATTCCCATGAACTACATGATGAATCTTAGCAATACTTATCAGCTACCTCATTCTCATTCATTCTTAAAATGCTGCTTTAACAACTACTTTTAAGGTTCTGCAATAACCTATCACTTCTATGACGTTGTTGATTCGTCTCAAAGAGGAATGTAATGCTTATGTGTACCTACATAAATGTACCAACATGTTATTCTGATAGAAGTCACAACACCTACCTGTTCCAGAAACGATGGAAACAGGCTTATCATTGAGGTGTGATTATAAAGGAAAAATGTGTAAGTTGCTTCAAGTTCACATAGAAATTCTACCTGTATTTCATTGCATGGAGATAGTTTCTAACTATGTGTAGGAATAATTATTTCCAAAACTCAATGTTTATTTCAGTACTTGGGCTTGTCATGGAGGAGAGAAGGTAAAGACAAACATAAACAACAAAGGAGCTATTATATGCGATTAGAAAGGCCCAACAGAAGCTGTGGATTAGAATTTTTAAAATACGAATTTACAGCTTTTCTAAATTTAAATCCACACATCCTATAATAGTTGTTCCAGATGTTATTTTAAAGAACTAAGTTTTTAAGACCATTTACAAAAGAACCTAAGTGTAAAAAAAGAACCTGCACACTCGCAAAAATAAACTTTTGAAATTCACATCGCATGCTGCACTGCCATATACAAACTGCCTAGAATCACACCTCTCTGCTTTTATTATCAACTATTGATTTGCCTCTAAAAGCAGCTCTAAAGATTAATTACTGTTCTGTTTCTATTGTACAAAGGTAAGTGACTTGGCTAAGAAGGACCATCATTTTAAATTAATAATGGATTAGAAATATACCACTTTAAATATGACAGGATTTTCTCCTATACATGAATACACACAAACTACTAAATTTGGCTAAAATTTTGATACCACAGTCTACTTATCTAGTGCCCATCAATGACTGTTCGTTTATTAAAACTGAAAAATGAAACCACTGCCAGAATAGTAATTTATATGGACCCATACGTGTTTCAGAGTTATTTTTTCCAGGTTTTAGAACGATAATATGGTCTACATTCTGTCCATTATTGTCTATCCCCAATGTCGACCAATATTGTCCATTGGTCGACATCACATAGTTGAACCTTATTCCAACATATTACAGCATTCAGTCTGTGTACTTCGTAGTTACCGTGTTTAAAAAATGATCGACTTCAAATTTCGATCCAGAAAAACAGTATTTTTCTGATTGTAGTATAAAGCAACGTATATATTACTAATCTCTAAAGCCCCGTTTTTTTTCTGAGGATACAGATTTCCAACACAACTAGAGAGACACACCAAACTTGATATTCTTTCTTCCTCAAATAACACTCTTAGAAATCTAACTTCAAAGGGCAGCGCATAGAAAACAGGATCACTACTTGGCTCCAGAATGAAGCTTCCTAGGCACCACCCAGGAGAACGGCCAGGGTCAAATCGGTCTTTGAAGCCACGCCCCAGGTAAGTCTGCAAACAATAAGACCAATAAATGGCGTATTTCTTCCCTCCCACAAGTTGCTAACTTTAAAGATTAATTTCAGCATGTACGTTCTAGTGCATCACATCACGATTCAGAGGACAAAAAGTCTTCAAAGCGAAGATTACTTGAGCAGTATGCACTAACAGAAAAAAAAAAATGCCCGTAGCCTACTCAAATTCTCAATTTAATCTGGAAAGGAACCCCCTTTAATAAGGCCCTTGGTCATCATGGTTAACGCACAAAAGGCTACGTAGGTCACCCAAAAAATATTTTTCAAATCCCAGTCAATACGCTAAATTTTCAGGGATTCCCCTTTTAGGACGTTTTGAGTATCACTAACTTCTAAACAACAACAACAACAACAACAGAAAAGTGTTTCTCTATGTTAACAAACTAAAATCACCCCTCCACTTTCCACCTGGTAGTGACTGCAATCATGCTAACTAGTTCGCGATTCTCTGGAACCGCACCGCTAGTGGAGGAGGCGGGCTCTCGCCGCTAGCCGTCCGCCACTGTTCAACCCAGAGGGCCGACCCGACTGTGGCTGAGAATCAGTCTGCTGCTGCTCTTCCGCCCGTTCCCTCTGAAATAGCAACTCAGAAGCGACCCAATCCCCGCACCTGCCTCAGCCTTCTCACACACCGAACAAAGAGCGGAGGCCGGAGAGGCCCTCAGAAGCGAGAAAGAGGGAACGTTCCAGCCCCGACGCGTCCCGACGCATTTCTACCTCGACAGCCTCGATCTCGATAGGGACCCTACTTCAACTATCCGCGATCACCTGGCCTGACTTCCGGTCCCATCAGAACCCCGGCCAACCGGCGGAGGGAGCCCGCCTGAGGCCGCTTACCGGTATTCGTAGTGCTCGTCGAAGTATTTATCTGAGTAGTAGATCTGTTTGTGGGCCATCGTGTCAGAACGTGAGCGGCGCAAAGAGGGAGCAACGGGGTAAGAAGAATGGATGCGACCCAGCCCAGCTACCTTCCGCGTCTGACCAAGCTAACGACTCGACTACGACTAACCGACAGCTGGTCGAACGATATCGGTTTGAATCAGACAGCCCGCCGTTGATTGGAAGGAGAAACCGACCAATCATCTTTTACGCAAACTGCGGGAAGGCGGGGCCAGCTCCCAACCTATTGTCAGCGCTCCTCCGCGTAGTTCACTCCCAAGATCAGCCACTCAGAGGCCTGTTGCGAGGTTGCTGGAGGGAAGAAATGGATGATTGGCAAGGCGTGGAGGTGGAGAGCTTCGAGACATACGGAACGTCACTTCGAAGGGCGAAGTCGAGACGTTAAGGGCCGTAAAGCGCGTGCGTAGGCGTTTCGAACGTTCCAGGTCTGCACAGCCGTTAGGGCGACAAAGTTGCTGGACGTGTGAAATATCGTGGAGTTTGGCGAGACGTGGGCGGGGCTGCCCGCCCAGCAGCGCCGGCGCCGAATCGGGGTCCCTGGGCTGGGTTTCGCGTCTCCAGTCTGTGGGAAGTGGGGAAAGCGGACGCGCCACGTTACACTGAGGCAAGTCCAGGTTAGGAAGGGTGAGAGGACGAGGCCTGGTTTGGGGAATAGGGACGCAAGAAGCTGAGGTTGAGCTCCATGGAACGTTTCAGGAACCGGCCAAGGTGCTGCTTGGACAGCGAGCCGGAGGCCTAGCCCGGGAGGCCTGAGTTTAGGTAAAACCTTGTTCTCACTCCGTGCACACACTCGGATAACCACCCTGTGGGTACGCATGTATATGCGTGTTTTCTAAGTGGGAAATTGTAAAAAGATTCCTTAAAATGACACTGTCAGATACTGGGATTAAAAGTGGTTTTTAGAAGTTCTTTGGCACTTAGTATTGAACTCTAAATAAAGTTGCTGGGGAAAAAATGCCGAGTCATATACTGGTTCTTTTTAGGTGACAATTAAACGTGATCTTCAGTATTTTTCATATTTCTCCAAGTGAGCATGTTATTTTTGTAGTAACAAAGCCTGATTCAATGTTAGTTGCCGCACCATGCACATGAGAACGTAGATGGGCCCTACAACTTCCCAGCACTAGATGGGCCTGTACCTTCATTTTTCTGAAAGGGCTTCCTTATACCTTCCGCTCTGGAGGTCCTCCTTTCCCCATTCCTCTCCCTCCTTGCGTCTTTCGGGGTTTCCAGCCCCGCACACCGGGTTTTGCTGGGACTGCCTGGCCTCCCACATGTGCTGCAGCATACTCTCCATAACCCAGGGAAGAAGAGGGCATGCCTCTTTTGTTCACCACTCTGTACCCACAACATAGCAGAGTCCTCTGCAGATGAGCACTAAATTTAAAGTAATATGTAATGTATGCCTAAATAATTGGTTGTGGTTATGTACTGTGATGGTAAAGATGTAAATAAACTGTTAAGGGAGATGATGAGGGAAATCACCAACTTTCTGGCAGAAGCTGGGAAAGAAAAGCTTCCTAGGAGATGAATTTTTACAGAGATGTACTGTGGAAAATTTCCACACATAAAAGTGGAATAGTAGTATCAACTTGGGTGTATCAATTGTTTAATTCAGCAACATCCCTTTGTTTCATCTATTCCCCTCTTTTTTGCTAGAATATCCTTAAAGAGATCTGAAGCATAATGCAATTTACTCTGAAATGATACTTTGTGTCTATCTCTGTCCTTATGGTGTACATCTCAAGAAAATTTTAAAAAATGTTTTCTGACACCTGTTTTGGATTGATTCTGATTAACAGTTGCCTTTTTATGATTGATTGGTTTGGATCCATATCTAAACTTGGGCCTACACATTGACTTTGTCTCTTTTAGTCTTTAAACAAGGCCCCCTGACATCAACTTTTCAAATATGGATTTATTAGAGAAACCAACTCATTCTCACCTGTGGGTCACTCCCCAACTTGGTTTTGAGTGATTGCTTTATTGTGGTGTTATTTACTTTGCTTTTCCTATATTCTTGTTTTGTTTCTTTTTATTATTATTATTTAACTTCATGGAATATGCATGCCAGCACTCCCCATCCCCAGATCCTTGATGGTGGCAGGGAGAGGACATAGGGAAAAGGTGAGGGGCAGACTGGGCCAGGGGTCAGGAACCAAAGGGTTGAAGCCCATGGCTGAGAAACCCATACTGAGAACCCACTTGGGAAACAGTGGGAGGCAAGGCTTCATGTAAACTGAGGCTCCCAACCGTCAGTGCAAGCTCTCTTGTCCCACCAGACTTCACTTACAAAACATAAATTTAAAGATAGAATTAGTAAGAATTGCCAGATGTGAAGACAGAGGATTAAACCCAAGTGCAGCATCCTGTGTGACTGCACTAGTCAGCACACCATGAATTGCAACCAATTCAGTTTTTAAAAACATTCTTACATAAGAGAATAAACTTTTCATAGAACTTGAAATGTTGGTAAAACTCTTCAGAAGACTTCTAATTACTACTTCAAGTTAACAGAGGGCTCATGTCTTTTTCTGACTTCTTGAGCCGATACAGGAAGTAAAGAGGAAGTATGTAAAGGTAAAACCGAGAGACCAAGCAAAAACAAATGATAAAATAGTACACTTAAAGCCTAACATCAAATGTCACATACCTAGAAATAAACGTAACAGATACAAAGTGAGATGACAAGCAAAATTAGGAATTTTTGAGGGACATAAAAAAAGTATTTGAATAAAGGGAGAGATATCCTGTGTTTGAGGTTAGGGAAATTTCATGTTATAAAGATATAAATTCTCTAACTTGGTCATAGAGTTATTGTAGTTCTAATTTTTAAAACACTTTCAAGGGACTTGCTTAACTGACTAAAATGTATATGTTAGAGAAAAGGGCTAAGAATAGCAAAGACATTTCAATAGACTAACATCATGATTTATTAAGAAATTCTAGAAATCAAGACAGTGTAGTAGTTGCTTATAAAAATTAAGATAACATGGTACTGGATAAACAAGCTGACTTTGAGATGTAACGGTCAGCTCGGTATACTGTTTGCTGAAGTTTTATCATTGTAGATACCCTTTAGATCATTTTGAGAAAGTACTCTTTCATTCCTAGTTTGCTAAATTTTTATCATAAATAGATATTGTATGTCCTTGCATACCTTTCAAGCTTTTATTTTTTACATTTAATTAATTTTTTTAGAATTATAAGTTGTAAATACTATAAAGAGATGAAAGGGTATTAGTAACTGCAGTCTTAAGAATGAGTCGAATGGCATTGTTATTGAAAACTAAATAATTGAAATAAAAAAATCAACAGCTAAACTGAAAGCATTATGGCTAAAAAGTAAGAACACATTAATGAGCCCAAGGATAGGGTTGAGTAACAGTCCCAGAAAAACATCAGAAAAGATAAAGACTCAAGGAGGCTAGAAGTGACAGCTGTCATTACAATAGTCGCAAATGGAGAGGAAAAAAAATAGAGGACAGGAAATACTTGTACAAATAATGGTTGTGAATTCCTCAGCTTTAAGGAAAGATAAAAGACTATAGATTCAAAAAGCTTGTGGAGCGCTAATTGTATAGATAAGAAAAATATAACCATAGAGAGATTATAGTGCAATTTAAGAACATCAAACACAAAGCTCTAAAAGCTTCCAGGGAAACATTACAAATTATACCTACAAAGCAACAAGAACAAATTAACAATGGCAATCTCTGAAGCAGCTCTGGACTCAAGAGGAAAATGTGTTACTTGTTCACAAAGGGTTGAATGAAAGAGTGGAAATGAATCTGCCATATTTTGCTTCAGCTGCTTCCTCCTTTTCCTCTCTGCAGGCCCTCTGCAAAGGCCCAGGGGAGAGGTGGGGGCATTCCTTCAATACCGGTGCACCACCCTGGGATTACCCCTACCATTTCCAGGATTACCCCCTGGCCTCCTCCACCTGATACACTATCACATGTAGTCTACCCCACAAGGGTATTTTCCAGAATATCCTGTTCATGATGCCAGTTGTAGCACAGGAGCTCCAAACCAGGGAGCTGCTTAAGTGTTCATGATATTCTGAAAAAAAACCACCTGGAGAGCTAACAGATGTGGGCATGCCATTTACTACTCACATTACAGGGGAGTTTACTGATAGCAGTGGGTCTGCGTGAGGAGACCTCACCTCCAGTCTGAGAGGCTCATTATACAGGATCCCAGACAAAGGCAGCGTGGGTCTAGTTTGCAAAAACCTGTGTGTGGCCTGGAGCTACATTTCATCAGTGTGTATGTGTAGCAGGAAAAGGTCAAGAAGCAGTCACAGGACAAGAATCTGCTCTCAAAAGAAGATAAGGAGGGAGTTACAATGCATTCCCATTCCCAAACAATACACATTCCTTCTGGCCAGGAGCCCTCTGGCCAGCCCTCGTCATAGGTAGTAGGAGATCCATGTATTGACCCCCAGTATATTGTCTAAAAAAGCAAGAATTTTAAAAAAATATTTGTTATTAACAATTTTGTCATGTTTATGATGTACTCCGACACTCTTCCAGGGCAGCAGAGGTTGGAAAGCTAAAAACATTTCATGGATTTTATTGCAGCTGTGATTTTGGATGTAATTAAGTTTTCCCTAATCAGCTATATTTTTGAGATTTGAGTTTAGAACAAAGATAAAAGGGGATTGGATCAGTTGTCTATTGCTGCATAATAAACTTTCCATCCCCCACCCCAAATTAGAGACTTAGAGCAATTATTTGTTTTTTTCTTGTGGTTCTGAGGGTTGTTTGGGCAGTTCTGAAATGGGTGTGGAACAGAGGTCTCCCAAATTTTGAAAACTGCCACTAACCTGGCTGGGGGAAGGGGAAGTGGAGCACGGCCATTGAAAGTTATTTTGCATATCTAAAGAACTTGGCCAGCATTTCAGTAATGCTAATGACTGTGTACACTGGAGCCTAGGAGATAGGTGTGACTCTAACCCTTGCTGCAGCCAGGAGGTGGTCCCCTGGGTACTGCACCTGTGCCAGTAGCTTGGAGACAGTTTCCACATCCTGGGACCAAGACTGCCGGGACCAAATATGGCAGCTGAGGAAGGCAGGAGAAACCAGAGTACTACCAGGTGTAACTCTGTGCAAGAAGTCGGAAATGGGTTACAG